CTACAGAAATTAAATCATAAAAAATTAATTTCATTAAGTTTATAATTTTTAAGCATTTTTATATTTACTAAAAATGTAGCCATTTACATTTTTTTATCTCAAAAAGTCGTTCATACGACTCAACACCTCAACACCTGCCTCCAAGGCTAACCAAACTCCTTTAGTTTCTGATAATTGACCCTCCAAATTCTCAAAGCTGATTAACACACAAGCAAATGAATTTTCCATTATGTATGTGATAGCATTGTTTTCAATGTAGAACATGAATCATGGCACCAGGAGCAGCGCCATTGTTCGGCCATGTCCTTGGATTATATTTTATCTGCGGGCAATCAATAAGCTACAGAGGAAAGCAGAATATGTATTATTAGGATTGACTTGAGTTTGGAAATGATTTTAAATGCATCTTTTAAGAAGATTAAATAAATAATTATTGCTAGCTGCAAAATCTGTTAAGAGAAGATAAGATGACTTAGTAAGGACTTGGTTAATGGTAAAGATCTTATTTATTATTTAATCTTACAAGTCATGTGACATTCTTTGGCTGAGAACTTTTAATAAACATTCTTAACATAAAAACAGTCATAAACGAAACATTTTTAAACCAAATTGATTGGCCAGCAATTATTAATAGGTTGGAATTTTAATATAATTTTCATTTGCAAGCCATATATTAATTTTTGCGGTTCGAAGAGTGACTTTGCATACTCGTCAAAGGAATGTTTGAGCAATAAATTACTGATATGAAAAACTTTGTAAATACCCAAAGGGACTTAAGTAAGAGCTTAACTACTTCCAGTTACTTCCACTTTCCACTTTTCAATAAAAATGATTTAATGATTCATGCCAGAGTCAGTTTGAGTATAAAATAGCATGACTTATTTCCCCAGTTGACTATCATCACGCTGCATTCTCTGGCTTATCACTAAAAGTTATTAAGAGTGAAGTGAAAATGCACATATTTTTATGTGAGAAAACCAGACAAAGTCACGTAACTCAAGACTGCTTATCAAAATGCCCCGAGATCTTGTTCAAGATTTATTGACAGCAGCAGCAGTAGCAGCAGCACCGGAAATGGGAAATGGGCAAGGCACATGTTCGACGTGTTTTACCTGCCTCTTTTATTTACGCGCAATTAACCCAGTTACAAGTTCGACATGCCGCTTTGGCAAAAGGCTCCCCCACCTTCTCCCACCACAACACACACACACCCGCACTCGTGTATATCCTGCATTTATCATAATTACTTCCCCAGAAATTTACCGCCAAAAAAAAATAAGTAATGAAGAAAAACGAAAAGGCGGAAAAAAAAACACAGAAGAGCGTTGATGATGATGGTGAAGAACGTTGATGAATGCCCTGGGCTTTAGCGAAATTCTGCTGCTTTGGTTAATGTTTTAATATGCCTCTGGCAACTATTAAGCGCACTTGAAAAGCTGAACGTTAAATGCCAGCCGCATATTAAACATCAATTATTTATGCCAAATGAAAAAAGGGTTTCGCGCTGAGAATAAAGTCATTCGCATAGCATACATTTTGGGGGCCTCGCATTTTCTTCTTCCTTTCTATATTTGTGTGTATGATTGTATGTGTGTGCTCATTGTATGCAAATACTCAAACATCGAAATGTGCTTAGCAATTATTTTAAAAATGCAAACAACTTGGGAAAAACAACAACTACCACGACAATTGCAATCGCAGTTGAGCATTGGACCAAAAAGGACGAGGCAAAAAGAAGAACACATTCCCACAAGGACACCGAAAGAAAAATGTTACTTTTGATAAAATCATTACATTATTGCAATTTTCCAATATTAAGGAAATAGATTTTTATAGGCAATATAACATTTATGTTAAACATTTAATAAGATCAATTTGACAAGTTTTTTTCCTGTGTAGACAGTGGCAGATAGAACGAACATGCAACATGCAAACTGCCTAGGCTCGAGTGCCATAAAAACTGGAGTGAACAATATACAAAACTTATTTTCAAATCAAACAACAACAGCAACAGCAAAAACCAAAGTCCATGGCGGCCAAAAGGGGGCCAAAGAGCAGGGGGCGTGGCAGTGACAACAGCAAAACAGTTACAACAAAGTGCCAGCTGCTGGAAGTAGACAAAAAAAGTAGAGAGAATTGGAACCCGGGACAGTGGAATTTTAGATTTCGAAAAAAAGTCAGAAAAGAAGTTAGTCTGGAAGAATAAATTTTTGACTTTACTTTTATTTTTATTATAAAAGTAGAAAAAAAACAGTATTTTTATACTGATAAAACTGTTGGTATATATTAAAGTAAAACGTAAAAATCCGTATTTAAAGTTCGAAAATAATACTAATTTTTGTTTACATTTTTAAACATTCGAAAGGAAAACCAGTTCTTAAAACTAAACAAATAAAAATAAACTTTTAAATTTGTTTTTTTTTATCACTTGAGTTTATATTTTAGTTTCTAATCGAAAAGAAAAACCCGTAAAGTCACTACTTTATGCCACAGTCCATCTATGCACTCTCGACTCGGCTGCCTGGCACAAACCAGAGTCAGACTAACAAATTCCGAAAAATGTCACATTGCGCACATGAAAAATGTCCTTGTGACAAGCGCCAACGCCAAACGGCGGCAACTGTGGTTGTGTATTGTTACTATATATGTGTGTGTGTATATGTATAGATGTGGTCCTTGGACGAGTGTGTGAGTGCTGGCTGTGCTTTAGCAAGGTCATGAGTAAATACGTTTGGAGCATGCTGTTTTTGCCGTTTATTCTCTAACAAAGCCAAGGCAGCAACAAGAACAAAAAGCAGAATAAATAAAATAAAAATATATATAAAAAAAAACAAAAAATAAAATACAAAAAAAAAGTTAAAGAAAGAAACAAAGGAGGGAATGCGAGAAAGAGAGAGAGCCAAATAGCAGTGGGCAAATTTATTGTCATATCTATATAATATAGGAAAGCTTCTGCTGATGCTTCTTATTGATATTTATACAAAATACATTGGCAGGCACACTCACACACTAGCAAACATATGTTTTCTATTTCCCAGAGCGCGTGTGTATTTGTTAGCCTCATTTGTAATGGCGTCTGCTTGCCAATTTGTTGTGTGTGAGAGTTCGTGTGTGTGGCCGAAAGAAATGCAAATGTGTATCGGTAAATCAAAAAGGACATTATTGGCTGCTTGTTAGACGTAAGCACAATTGCCAGCCATTACGTAGGTGTCTCTGTATGTGTGTGTACTACTAGAGCAACTGTATGCGTGTTTGGTATGTCCTGTTTGTGTTTGTGCTTGTGTTTGTGTTTGCCAATGGTCGACCGCTAAGTGCGCTTAAGCGTCAAACCAAATTGGCCGGCGCTTTGTTCTTCAGCGCTTAGCTGAAAGTGCACTTTACCTTTCCCCGCCCCACTCTCTGCACTCACACAACTTTACAACTCACACAAATAAATAAATGGAAAAAAAACTACTCATACACACAGACACTCACGCATGCACGAGTATTTGAGCACTCGAAACTTATTTGCTATTTACACTCGATTAATCGACAGCCTTTCGTTTATGACTTTGATGCAACTTTTATCGGCATAATCGATGGCAAAGTTTTTTTAATTGAATTCGATGGGCTGCTGTAAAAGTTAAGGCAGTTTCCTTTGATTCAGTTTGGAAACTGACTTCCAATTATTTAATTATTTAATTCATTTCACTTTGGCTTCAAATTTGTATTACAAATTGTATTTGGTTAGAGGCTTTTGGTAATAAAAAGTTGATTCGGAAAGTAGTTAGTGGTTTTAAGTATGGCGAATGGCTGTATGAGGTATTAAACATTAAGGACTATGATTAAGATTTAAGTTAAAACCATGATTAAAGTAGTATGAAATAATAATTGTTTCTGTTGCTAGGGTGACAAGGTTGCCCAGATCGCGGAAACGATCGAACTTGTTTACTTTATATAGAAAAAGTCTGGCAACACTAAAATTCACTGGCTGGCAGTGTTTAAAAGTTTTGATTTGAGAAAACCGCTAATCGGACTCAGAGAACTGTAAAACACAAGTGTAAGAAAAAATAAGTTTAGATTTTAAGTTTGTGAATCAAAAAATAAGGATTAGTAGTCTAAATCACTTTAAGACCACCACTCACTTCTCACCTATTGAGTACTTATCGGTTATCAATAACTGCAATATGTGCTTAGCGCAATGTTTGGCTTAATCCGGGGAAATTGCAAATATTTTTGTGGCCAGTGCCGCTGAATGGCTATCGTGTGCACGTCATACCTAATACCAATACCATATCCATGGCTAAGTGAGTGGCAATGTGTAAGCACGGCAATTTTCAACTATTTATGAGTACAGAGGTTCCTCCCCTCGCACCATACCTCACACCTAAACGATGTGAAAATGTGTGGATGGTTTAGGGGGAAGAGCACTGCTCCTCCACCGGGAGTGTGGCATGTGGAGGTGCTGCCTTTGTGCTAACCTGTTTTTGTTTTGCCAACCAAAGTTGGCACATAAATAATGAAGCACGGGGCATAAGTTCCCATTGATTTCACAGTGTGTGCAAATGAGTGTCTCTGTGTGTGTGTTCGTGTGTTTACAGGGATGGTGAGGATATATGAGGGAGGATGAGGGGCAGCAGTACACCATATGACTCTAGAGATTAAGCCATTGTTTGCACTGAATGTGGCGCTCAGTCTGAGCTGCGGCTTAGCGGCCTGCGTACGTAAACAAAAGTTGTTCAAGGGATTTCAGATTGGATGGAGGAGCGGGTGTTTTAACCCAATTCCGAATGAATAGTACCTGTTATAAGAGAATGGGTAGATTAGGCCTTTACATTATGTCATGAAAAAGGGAATTATGTGAGGAAGTTATAATTATTCGAAATATTTTTGGATAGAAATCCTGAAATAAGATTATTTTCCAGTTAAATGATAGTTTTGCAGGGAATTTTCAGCTTGAAAGATCTACCTACTTTACCTAATGACAGAACCTCTAATTAATCACATATTCTCATTTCCAGCTCCAGCAGTGTAATGCGCCTTGGGGGCAGTGGCATTCCATACGACGGCGACCCCCTGACAATGAGCGCAGCTGGCAACGACTATGCCGAACTCTGTGATCTTGGACCCTCGCGATGGAGTGCCCGACCCTACGGATACAATGCGACCGCAGCGGCAGCCGCCAGTTTTGGCCTTGGGCCCACATTGGGCGGAACGCAATCGTCGTCGAGTGTGCCGACGGGTGGATCGGCTGGACTCAGTGGTCACCACCTGCGCGGTAGTGGAGCGCCAGGTCCGAGCAGCTTCGAGGCGGAGGACATTGGTTTGGCTTTCGGTATGATTAGCCCGCCACCGGGCAGTGGACCCTATGTTGGATCATCAGCTGCAGCGGCGGCCGGTGGCTCGCGCGTTGGCAACAGTACTAGTTCGTTGCGCGGTGCCGGCGGTCGTTCTGGACTCTATTACTCGCCGCCGGGCACCTCCTATACCATCATTGAGCGACCCCACTCGCCGCACTATTACTTCAACTCGGCGGGTGTGCCCACTAAGGGTGGCTCGTTGCCGGGGCGTGGCAGCGCCTATCTTAGCTCTTCACCTGCCAGCCACATGGCTGCTGGAACGGCGGGCACATTGCCCACGTCGACAGCAGCCAGCGGACGATCGATGGGCCAACATTCAAGTAGTAATGGCAATAAGAAGAGGCCCATCTCGCCGGAGCAGGTGCTGCGCATGTTTGGCGCCACCCAGTCGTCATCAGTTCCTACGAGTAGCTATCACTACAGCAACGGCGGCACGCGGGATAGGGATCGCACGGGCAGGCGGAGCCCCGCCAGCAGTCCGCCCTCCACCACCCACCAGGTGAGTACAGTTCTTAAAACTCTTTTTATAGGAAAAAGTATAAGTCTTTAAGAAGTATATCGAATGTAGAAGACTTTAACTTTTTCTTTCTATATTGGATATCATTCTACTGTCATTTTACTTGCCAGATTTATCGGGATCGGGAGCGGGAAAGGGATCGCAGTGTCCCGAATATCCACGAACTTACGACGCGAACCGTTTCCATGTCGCGCGACCAGCAAATTGATCATGGTTTCGGGATTTGCGTCAAAGGAGGTAAAGACTCAGGTGAGTGATAGTGAAAGTAATTTATTTATTAAATGATGGTCTTAGCAAAAACTTTACTGAGAAGTGATAAAGAATTGCAAATCTTTGAATTTTGAAAAGCATAAGCCTGCCCATTTACGTATACGTGATAAACAGCATTTTTGAAGTTCTTAAAGGAATTCATACCTCAGGAAAGGAGATATTTTATAAGTCTGTTAAGTCATCTGAGTAGACACTTAAACTAGTCGCATACCTAATGTCTTAATGTCTCAAATAATAATAATTTTCCTCCTTTTAAAAATCGAATTTCATGCATAAACATGGACGTTGGGCCTCTTTAACTAAAAATTTCTATGAACTAAGCTCTGTCTTTTGGTAAATATTTTGTATGTTTACTGGCACATTAACAGCTTATGGTAGCTTAGTGTATAATATATACCAAAGTAAGCTATGTTTAGCTCGCTAGTGTGCTAAAAAAACCTTCCAAACTACGATATCCCAACACTTTCTTACCCATTTAATCTGTCCGCTGGTACGCCCCTTGCTGTTTGATTCGATGTCACGCCCAGTCGGTTTTGGGTGATGGTTCTCCTGGTTTTCCTTTTGGCCTGGGAAGCTCTTACGTGCAATTTAGTTTTCAATTTCGTTTTATTGTCCGGGTCTCTGAGAGCCATGTGTCTGTACGTCCGCCATGTGCGTCCACCTTGTCCGTTCGTGTTTGAGTAAACCACGTGTATTGGCGTGCATGTTTGTGTGTGACAAACCGCCAGCAGCTTTGACATTTCCAAGTGCATTTTGCACCTGACTACCTTTTTGGCTAACCAGCTCTTCCTGCCTCCTTTACCTCTGGCTTTTACTCAGCAACGGCTATGGCAACTGCTATTGCCTCTGCCTCTGCCACTGCCACTGCAACTACAACGGCCTCTTCCCTTCGTTCATTCCTTCATTTCCTGCCGTTGAATTTATTTTTAGTTTGCAATATGCGGACGGCTTTAAAATCGATAAAAATCTATTTAAGTTGGCCCCGTATGCAGGCTTCTCCTATTTCCTCAGCTCTTCCTCGTCCTTACCTCCTGTGTGCCATTGTGCCTACTCATACAAATACAAAACACACACACACAGACACACACACGTGCTTTATAAATTAAACATAAAATGGCTGCCGCACTCCATCCTCTCAATCCTCTGCAAAATGGCTGAGCTTAATGAAAAACAACGAAAAAAAAAAAGGAAGAAAAAATGAAAACCAACAAAGAGAGAAAGGGGTCTGGGTAATTTTTGCCTGAAGGGCGGGGAACTTTTATTAAAAATTGAGTGTATGAGCAGGCTGACTAATTGATACCCCTTCTCTACCTTTCTCCTCTTTTCTCCACTTTTTTTTTGGTTTATTTTCTGGTTCAGGCTTAGGCGTCTACATCTCACGCATAGAGGAAAATTCGGTGGCCGAACGCGCCGGTTTGCGACCCGGTGATACAATCCTAGAGGTGAACGGCACCCCCTTCACCTCAATCAATCACGAGGAGGCGCTGAAGGTGAGCATCCCACAAAATATATTTACGCTCGCATAAATATTTATATCTCTTTTGATCTTTATTAAATATTTTGTAGTAGCTAATGTTATTTATACTTAGATAAAAATCGATGAAAGCATACAGCAATGCGGTGGTGGGGTGAAAGTTTCCTTGATTTACCAAAAATACATTTTTATTGGGTATTAACATTGATTGACAAGGGGAGGGTTTTTACACTTGACAAAATATTAAAAAGGAATTAGAAATTACACATTTTTTGTAATGAAAATGTCTCAGTTTATATTTTATTCAATAATGTATCTAACTAAAGGCAAGTTATGAAGAGAAAAGTAATCTTAAGTTGATTTTTCAGAGAGCTCTTTAAAATCTGTTTAGAGTCAAGACCTATCCCCCCGTTTCTATGAATTTTCATCTTCATCTCTCTTCGACCTAAGCCACTGCCTTTCCTTCGACATTGACAGCCATGTCAAAATTCTTCTTCCATCAAAAAATATCTAATTTTATTGTACACTTTATTGATTTTTAATGCGATTTTCTAGCCAGGCCGCTCTGATATAGGCAGCCTCAGTTTGTCAATCGACTGGCTCTTAATAGTTGCCCATAATGGGGTTCTATCCATCAAGTATATATATATATATATATATATATGCATAAACATGCTATATATTTATATGGGTAAACTGTAGTCAGTGGGCCACCACATCACCATCGTCTTTTATGGCCGACACTTGACAGAGTAACCAAAAGAAAAGGATTTTCTTGGCCCTACCGACAATGGCAGCTGCCTCCGAAACGAAAGTCAATTTATTGTGGAATATTTTATGTGACACGTTATGATAGTCAATATAATTCTTTCTCAAACATATTACTAGATATGGCCAAAAAGGACGACGAAGAGACATGGCACATGTTGTGCCATTTCTCACGCTTTCGAGCAATTTAAACTTTAACAGTTTTCGACAGAACTTTGTTTGGGAATACATATATAGATACACACATATATGATAAACTGCAAATGCAAATATATAGATTGACATTACACCCACACCCTTTACTCGAATCGATTGCTGTATGCTTTGAGCGATTTTTCGTAGTTTGTTTCCTATACAAGTATATAAATCTTTATGCACTTGATACAGTTTTGTATGAATATTACTAAACCAAATACGAACATACATATTTGAAAGAAAAAACCATGAAAAGAAAATCAATAATACACTAATACAAATATACACTGAGAAAAAATTGGCAATAGATTAGTCGCATTTTGTATTCAGAATTTTTTTTAGTATTTTGATATTTTTTTTTTTTTTTACTTTTTTTTAGACATTTTTAAGTTCATTTGTTTAAGTTGACCGACTTGAAGGACTTACATTACCCACTTGCAACGACTTTGCACTGAGTTTGCCTTTTAACTATTCAATTTCTTAGAAGCCACCACACATCCTTTTTGACTAGAGAACTGAGCTTAAAAGGATTTATACAGATATCCATAACGAATGTCAAAGAATTTCAAAAACCACAAAAGCTTATGTCGCTGCATTTTAGATCGACAGAATTTTAAAAGATTATCAAATATATGTGTGCAGTTGGGTGTAAGGCACCAAGGAAAGCCGACCACAAAACCGAAAAATTAAGACTTCAACCGAAGAGCTGGAAACCCCTAAAAGCGGACAACACCTGTGGGGATTCACAGACCAATTTGCACACACACACACAGCACCTGCACCTAGCGCCCACCTCAACATTGGTCAGTTTCAGACCACCCAAAAACACAATTCTGCACATTCTCACATTAGTTTTTTTTTGTTTTTGGTCGAAAACAATTAAAATAATGACAGCAAATTGTGGCAAGCAACACTAAAAACTGACAACAAAATCCAGAGACCATTGAAAAACTCGGCAACAAATGAAAGTTAAGAAGGGGGGACAGCGGACACGCCCACCGTTAAAGTTAATTAATAATTTCGGGAAATTCCGATACCACTTTACCGTACACGTTTTTGTCCAAGCAATTTTGCAAATTTCCATTTGTTTTCGTTTTTTTTTTTTGTAATTTTCATTTTTATTTAGTATTTTGCTCCATTTCCCCCTCTCTATTTCGCTATCTATCTCTCTTTCTCTATTATTCTTGTTGGTTCGTTCCGTTCTGCTCGCATCTGCCCTCTCTTTTTTGTGTCTCTTCTATTGCCACATTTTTTCTTAACGCAGAGATGTGTGCAGATATTGAAATCGTCACGTCAAATCAGTATGACGGTGCGAGCGCCGCCCACTCTGAACTCGACCGCCCCGCTTCACGGCTTCGGTCCGCCCTCCCGCGACCCAATGTACGCATCGATGGCACCACCCCTGCATCCACAGAATCAGGCGGCAGCGGCAGCAGCGGCGGCGGCTGCCTCCGGTGCGGGTCTGCCCTTCCGACAGACCTGCTCCTGGATGGACCGCCACGGACGACCCGCCTCCCCGCCCATGGAGTACGGTGGCAGGCGCAGCGAGCGACGAGATCGGTAAGTATATAAGATCTGTCAATCTAAAACCAAAAGAAAAGCAAGATTCTATAGTTAACCCCTTACCCTTACCAACCCCCCCCCAGAATACGTCGTGTGGAGCTGCTGATCGAGCCCGGTCAATCTCTGGGCTTGATGATCCGTGGCGGCGTGGAATATGGCCTCGGAATCTTCGTCACTGGTGTGGATAAAGACAGTGTAGCAGATCGATCCGGACTGATGATCGGCGACGAGATTCTCGAGGTCAATGGGCAATCCTTTCTCGATGTGACCCACGACGAGGCTGTGGGTCAGTTAAAGTACCACAAGCGCATGTCGCTGGTGATACGTGACGTGGGCAAGGTTCCGCACTCCTGCACCTCCATCGAGATGGAGCCCTGGGACGCCTACAGTCCAACGGGCACAAGGTGGGTTAGGAAGAAACCTTAAATTATATATATGAATTATACAAAAATATGTTTATTGATCCTATATAGAGCACGCCGAAAAGGTCAGATTGCGACCATGGTGGAGGAGAAGGCGCGCTCTCTGCTGCCCCGTCATCACTTTGCAAGCCTTTCCTACTATATTGCCGAATATAGTGCGAAAGCAATGACCATAGATGCCTTTGTTGCCGTCTTATTAGAGATGTTAGATACGTACGAGAAGGTGAGTTTGAGGGAAGGGTTTTGGGTTTTGGAGATGTATAAGGTTTTTATGTTCAAAAAACCAAAGGAAAAGTTATGAGGAGAGTAGGATAATCTAATAGATTAAATAATATTTACAACAATTATATATTTTTCTAACTTTCAGCACACGCTAGTGACGGAAATACGGGAACTGGTGTTCCCTGAGGATCGCACGCGATACGATGAGCTCGTTTATCGCAGGGAACGCGATCCTTATAGCGTGGATAGGCATAGGGTAAGTTCAAGGCTCTCTTTAACACCTTAACCCCTATGTAAACTTTTGATTTTCTTACAGCGTAAGGGAGACCCCGCCCGTGATTTGCCGGTAAGCTTTTTAGAAGATTTATTCTACGACACAGACACAATATATACTTAGTTAAGAGAGAGACACACTCCTCTTTGCCAAACTAACTAACACTGAGCATGTTCTTCTGCCAAATAAACTCTAAACTAATACTATATATATGACTACTGTTCAACCGGTCTACAGTCTACTACTATTCGTCTATATCTCTACCCTACTTACTATATACTATATCTATATCTATATATATATTATTGTTTAGTATATCTTTCACTTCTTGCTGTTGTCTTTGATAATTGTTGTCACTGTACCGTTTGTAACTTTTACTTTAATTTATCTGTTTCAACTGTAGACAAAATACAAATAACACTCGTCAAAAGAAAATCAAAACAAAACTTGTAGTTTAATTGTTGAACGAGATACACTTTCTTTAGCCACCCAACTCAAAACCAGTTAATGCTGCTTTTTCATTTTCCTTGCATGCAATTTTCTTTTATTTTATTTTGGTTGAGATAGCTTTCAGAAAACTCGCTTACTTCTGATTCGGCCCTTTGCAAGTAAAGTTGCATTAAAAAACAAAAACAAAAACAATCAAATCGAATGTCAATTTTTCCAAAAACAAAAGACACCATATACATACCAACATTAGTTACACATTGTAGTGGCAAAGTTTTTACATCATTTTTAGTACTAAGAAAGTGGGGAGTTTTGTGGATTTATGTAAATTAAGATGAAACCAAAGCAATTCGAAGACAAACAATACAACTGCCTCTAAGGAGGAAATTCGAAACGAAGTACAGTTGTCTCAAAATGAGTGAAACTGTCGTTGTAAATATAGAAATTCAAAAAGGGTTTACTGCCAAATAGTTAACTTTAGATTTAGTCTTATGTTTAAGTAAGAAAATTACTGTAAAATATCAAATTGAACTTATGTAATTTCACATTGAAAATGCACTTAAAGGATAATCAAGAAACCACAACAGTCACCAAAAGAATCAGCACCATATCAATATAACTATCGATCGAATGCACTCCCAGACACTCTATCTCTGTCGCTCTGTCTTTAAGACTATCTATCTCTCTGTCGCTCTCTGTCTCTGTTCTATGCTCGGTAGAGTTATACGAAAGCCTAGATTAGAGCCTCCCCGCCCCTCTCACTGACTCTCACTCACTCTCAAACTGTTGTTCAGCTGTCACTGTCTCACTCGCTCTGAATCGTATGCAAAACCAAATCGTTCGTTTCGTTTCGTTCCATTCCGTACCATTCCGTTCCGTTCCCCAACAGGTAACTGCCGATGATTTGGAAATTATTGCTGCCACTGGACGGAGTCCTTCGTCGGACTCGGGCCTGGGCATGACCGTAACGGATATACACAAACGGTATCTAGCCAATAAAAGAAAATTCATATCCCATATCCCATATCCCTTAAGATCCTATCCTGAACAGTGTTGGAAAAGATAAGAGAAAGGAGTACATAGGAGATTAGTCGTGAGAGTCGAGAAATCCTCTTCTGGAATAGGAATTAGTTAAAAGTATATACTACTATATATACAAAGATTTTCCATCAATATTATCATATCCAGAGCAGCCTTAGAAAGAGTAGAAATGTTTTCCAAATATGTAAACAAAAACTTAGAACATTCAGTAAAGTCAAATGTTAGAAAACTATCAATTTAAACCGAAAATATCTAAAAGTGTTTATCCTTAGTAAAAAGCTAGCTAAAAATATCTAGAAATTCCCCAACACTGATCCCGACCCACCACCCTCCCAGCCCGTCATAACAGTTAACTTACCTGTGTGTGTGTATATGTATACGATAGACCCGCACTACAGTTGCCCCATCGCCCAATGTCGGCGGGACCCATACTGCATCGCTCACAGCCAGCATCACATTATCAGACAGCAAGTAACCAGTCCTCATCATCATTATCGCCTCCACAACAACAACAACAACAGCAGCAGAAGCAACAACAACAACAGCAGCAGCAACAACAACAACATTATCCACCCCATCATGCCTCATTGCGTCATCTGGGCGGAATTGGCGGCAACGTGGGATCTGGGCGCCATCATCATCATCCGTTGGGACCAAGTCAATTGAAATTCAAACAGGCCAAAGACAATCAGCAACAGGTCAGGATCGAAGCGAGATGGGAAAATAGGGTAGCAAGTGGAAAAGAAAATTTGACTTTCACGGTTCTCTTTTGAAAAAGTTTCGGATCTATCAACGATTCCTATCCTAAGGCAATCGAACTTAGGCTTTTATATGAAAAGCTCTTACTTAAAGAGTCTTTTCTTAGGGTTTCCTTAAATTTCCTTAAAAATATATTTTATGGCACCAAAATCTATCTTAAATTTGGTCAGTATGCAGTATTTTAAGTTCATCTAAGCTTTGGAGTAAGAAAAAATTGACATTCGGCTGAGGAATTAGCCGAGGTTTCAGATTTCCAACTCTTTTGTGTGTCTCTCTTATGTTTTTTTTTATATTTATTTTGTATCTTGAGTGTCTTTAACTCTCTATCTCTATATCTACTTTTTGTACGAGGTGTGTTCAAAAAGTAAGGTGACTTTTCAAATTTCGCGGGCAACATATTTTCGATTATCGTTTTTTTTGTTTTGTTATATTGGTACACTCTTCCCTAACATCTGTACCAAGTTTCAATGGAACATCCTCTTTTGTTTGGTTGTGAGAGGCGTAAAGGTACAAGTTGTTTTGCGAGCTCGGCGATTTTTTGCTTTTTTCGGTCTTGGCTCGTCTGGGCTCTTCCATTGGGACGATTGGGCTTTGGTTTCGATATCATAACCATATACCCATGATTCGTCACCAGTTATGACCCTTTTGAGTAAATCTGGGTCGTCGTTGACGTCATTCAACAGCTCTTGAGCGATGCTCATGCGACGGTTCTTTTGCTCAAAATTCAGCAATTTCGGAACAAACTTCGCTGACACACGACTCATACCCAAAACGTTTGAAAAAATTTCATGGCACGAGCCAAGCGATATACCGACATCTTCAGCAACTTCTCTGATAGTGATTCGACGATTTTCCAAAACAATTTTCGTCACTGCTTGAACGTTTTCATCAGTTGTTGACGTGCTTGGGCGTCCAGAGCGAGGCTGGTCATTGGCATCTTCCCGGCCATCTTGGAAGAGTTTGTACCACTTGTACACATTTTTTTTACTCAGAACAGTTTCACCGTATGCCACTGTCAACATTTCAAGTGTTTCAGAGCACTTAATTTTATTTTTTACACAAAATTTGATGCAAATCCTTCGATCCATATTTTTCGATAGCAAAAAATCGCCGAGCTCGCAAAATAGCTTGTAACTCTACGCCTCTCACAACCAAACAAAAGATGATGTTCCATTGAAACTTGGTACAGATGTTAGGGAAGAGTGTACCAATATAACAAAACAAAAAAATCGATAATCGAAAATATGTTGCCCGCGAAATTTGAAAAGTCACCTTACTTTTTGAACACACCTCGTATCTTTGTCTCTTGTTGTGTGTAACGTCAATTGTCGGATTTTTTTTTTTATATGTTTTGAGTCTTTTTCCATGTTTGTCCAACTGTCAGTTTGTGTCTGTGTGTTTACGTTTTCGTATCTGTTTCCGGTTATGTTGTACTTCCTTTTTCAATGTTGTCCAATTGGCTATTGAGTGTTGTAATACCCGTTAAGTCGCATTAAGACCAATGCCAAAACTAAATTGGTTACCAAAAAGAGCCTTAAAAGAGCTGCTTAGCTGACAAAAAATGTATTTTGTAAATTCTTTTATCCCGGCTTAGGAATACGGCTGTGATGAGCACAGAACTCGCCGGGGCAGCGAAACCCTTTTACCGGAATACGAACAAGATACGGTGAGTAAGCCAAGTGATCGAGATTGTTATAGTGCGGGGGTGTAATATAAAGCTTTATAGCAGAGTGTGATCAATAGCAGATTCTAATCATAGATCAAAGTTTTCTTAACTCTACACTTTCGTAACCATTTCCATGAATTACCATTTCATGATAAGCACACACCTTGAATTTCCCCTTTTTTTTTGAAAGAAATCTCCACTCAAGTTTTGTATATTTTATTCTTTGTATCTGTAACTGTATCTGTATCTATAGTACATACGTTAACTATATTAACTAACACTACAACTTAAGCACTATATATCTAAGTATCTATGTATATATATGGGGTTTATGTATGGGCAGCATGTTTGCCTAGCCACTGAATCCTTCTCACATCTTGTCATGCATTGAACCCTCGGCCACCATGGGCAGATGGTAATCACGTGGCGGTGTAAAGGGTCGTACAAAGTGTCGCCACTGGCGGTGGTGTAAGGGCGGGGGCGGTTGCATGGGCGTGGACCCGCCGGTTGTTACCGCATGTTGGTGCTGCTGATGGCAACTGTTGGGCTCGAATTTCGGGCGTGGTATGCGCAACTGTTTGATCTCCGTCAAATAGGTTTCCATGTTGTTAGCCAGTCGCCTGTTAATGTTTGATTTGTTTAAATGATTTGTTGTTCTTTGGCCAAGTTGCAATCAGTGTGGAGTGGACTTTGTTTGATGAGTTTGACGTTGCACTCGATGGTGGCAAAGTCAGCAGAAAAATAAACAGAGGGAATGGGTTGGGGTGACCTAGGATATTGAGCGTTAAAGTTTAACTAACTTTTAATTCAGATTATCAAAGGAAAGGGATAGTTTTAAATAAGACTTCTTCTGCTTTTTGGTTAAACATTTGAACCTGACCTATTTTTCTAACAATGCTTTGCTGTAAAATATAAAAATATTCCACAATCCGAGTCGAAATTCAATGTCAAGAAGTTTCTTAACACTTTAAAGAATTCCAAAAGATTTAATACTATCCCCTCAAAGACACCTCCCTTAAAACTCTTTCTATCGACCAAGAATCGTCCAGTAATGAAGAACTATTTTAATGTCCCGCAAACTTCACTTATTCACTTAAGTTCTTATTTGATTTAGAGCGAAGAGTCTTATACTTGAATATACTTTTCATGAATGTTTTCCCCCCTACCATTTGTGCAAACTTCGCCGGTCGTGCCACTCACAGCACACAGCTCTCCCGCACAACTTGTTGATTAAGTGCAGCAAAAGTGAAAGTAAACTCACCGCCAAAACCCCAATGTATGTACGTTGGTATATAGTATGTGTTTCGGCTAGAAGACAAGACAAGAAAATTGCAATAATTTCCGCAAAAGGCGTTCAACCGTATCAACATGCAGGCAAAGGCAGAGGCAAAAGCAGAGGAGTCAGTCAAGTTCAGGGCAGGATTTTCATTTTGGTTCGCATGAAATTGATTTGGATTTGGGTCTGGCAAAATGAGTAGCAGCTAAACGGCTTGCGATCCGCTTGCTTAGCCCTGTTTACACAGCTGACACCATTTGGGCCGGCTTGACTGACCGCCGAACGATGTCGGATGGTCGATGGACGATGGACAACGAACGATGGCCAATGGACAGACCCCGACCCAGACGGCAGCTGAGTAACCAGTTTGATTTCAACTACAACTTTTTTTGTTGGGTTGTCGCTTGTCTGGCTTATGGGACACTCACTTTTTTTTTTTCGAAATTACATGTTTCCGAGACCCGGGGATAGAAATCGTAGGGGAGCAAGGAGGGGGTGGGGGCCAGATCTGGCAGAGCAATGGCCAAGACCAAAAACTCAAAGTGGGTCATTAGAGAAATGTACTAAATAAGGTACAAAACTTTGTCAAGAGCAAACGTAAATGGAAAGTAAATTGTTGTAGCTGCAAGTTTTCCTCTTCTTCTTCTGCTTGTTTTTTTTTTTGTATTAACCAAAAGAGATGGAAGACGAAGAAGAAGAAGTTGTTTATAATGTAAATAAACCATTTTGGATGCGTAGCGAAAACCAGTAAACAGAAGCTGAAGCTGAAGCTGATGCTGAAAATAAAAACAAACCCAAATACGGTCTACAAATTCAATGGGTGTAAAATATAATTATGAGATTGAGCCCAGTTAGAAGAAATGTCTGTCAATAGAGAGCACTTTTACCCATCATCATCATCATGATGAGAACCTTGTGGGGGTAGGGTAAGGAGGAGGTGCTGGCAGTGTGAAGTCTTGAATCTTGATTAACCGTTATGACAAACTCTTTTTACGTCTATCCATTATGTTGTTTTAGCAATCCCGACAGCTTGTCATCTTTTGACATTATTAATTATACTTGACTGGGTTCCCCCCCAGGGGGGGTTAAAGGTAATTATGCTACCTTTTAAATACCCTAAGGTGGCGTTTAAAAAAGCTAGTAGGTATAGGAAAGTGACCTTATTAAAAAGTGACTCCTTTTATAAGTAAATTTCCAACTTCAAACCAATTTAAGCAACCAATTTAAAGTTCATAACTTCAAACTTTACAAATCAAAAGCTATTCAATCTTCATAGGTAACTATTAGCTTAAAGTTTACCAATAGAAAATTAACAAATCATAAACTTTAACCCACAAACATTGATACCCTAAGGCATTATCTTTTATTGCAATCGATAAATTTTGACATGTGACACTTTCGCAAGCCTTAATTTGTTTTCAAATTAAAAAAAAAAACAATTTTGTTGACCTTGCAATGGCATTAATAAAATCCAGCTTTGGGTCAATAAAAACTCCATCGTTGCGGTGGACCAACTTGGTACCCTCCTCCACCGCCGATGCGTATCTAATGACAAAGAGTTGCCCTCTCCGCTCTATACGCCCCTCTAGTTTTTCCAAAATCCCCTCCAGCCTCCGACTGAACAACGAGGTCAATGGCATGTGCTATGAATGATGATTGCCAGCTTTTCGATTCGAGTTACAAAAATTGAGCTACTACGGCTAAAAAAAACATCATCAAACACGACAACAAATCTTGGCTGCAAAAGTTTGCAAAGTCATAAATTTGATTGATTTTGAAATGGTTGCCCTGAGCTGCTTACCAAAAAAAAGTGGCTAGAAAATGATTGAACAAATTGAAAGAAAAATTGCCCGAAAATGATGTGCGTAGGGAAAAATACAGTTAAATGGGCTGACATATAGGCAATTGACTGAAAGTTTTCATTATTGTGTGAGGAAAAGTCTCTTTCTCTTTCCCGTGAAAGTTGGGCTTCCCGGTTTCCAAAGTTGTTCCTTCAGATTCTGGTGAAATCTTTCTGGTTCTGTTGCCAGTCCGAAACCTTTTTTTTTTTCTACTACTTCTTTAACTTTGCTTTTTTTTTCTTGTTAAATTCAACAAAAGGTGAAAATTTAATTTGTTGTTTAATTCACACTATTGTTATGTCCGCGATGAAGTCAGAATGTCTGAGATCAGATTTAAGCTCTGTGTTTGTTGTGACACACTGGGTATGAATAATTTGTGTTTGGGCCAGCTCATTGACCTATAAACCAACTGACAGCTGACCGAATGTCTAAGAATAATTTATCAAATCTCTAGCTCTGATTTTGTTGATCGGCGGCTGATGAGAAATGGGTCAAAAGTTGGCTTCGTTTGAAAATGATTGGTTAAATGGAACCAATTTTGATGAAACCATAAAAAGCGGCGTTCTTTTTTTTTTGGTGAGCATGCGGAACCACGTTTTATTGGAGCAATCTCCATTAGAGTTTTTTAGTCGGAAAAAAGGGGTATTCGTATTTATGCCTTTTCCAATGGCAATTACTTTAGTCAAGTTGTCAGTGCTGCCCCTAGGCCCAGAGACCGAGAGAGAGACACACTCTGAAAGCCTGTCTGAAAAGCCATTAAAAGCATTTCGTTCGTTCTGTGTTTTATGCGCATTTCTTCTGAACCTTTTTTTTTTTTTTGGCTTTCCCTAACAGCCAATGGTTGTTTTTTTCTGGGTCGAAATGTTTAGCAACTATTTCGCAGTCTTACCACCTAGAATTCCCCACCGTTTCCATCAGAAACTTAAGTGCAGAAAAGAAAGACAACAAATCAACCGAAACCCGGAACGCCTGACTGCGTCTTAACTTCATTCTGGCAATTAAAAGAGGTAACAAAACCATAACAAAGAAAATTGGCTTAGCCAAAAAAAAATACTGTGAGAAATAGTTAGAAGTTAATTGAATGCAAAATGCAAAGCAGTAAAGCAATCTCAGATGCCAAAAAGGCAGTATTGCGATGATATAACCAAACTTCTGCTACCATTATTATTATTTATGCAACAATTTTGGCAGCAAACAGAGCGCGAAATGTAACGAAACGCGAGATTTGTCAACTCCACAGGCAACTTGTTTCTCGTTCAATTTAAGCCTCGTGTAATACGCACTTTTAGCTGATGTCTGGTTGACTGTTAACGTGTTTTATTCTTTTCTCTGATGACTGGGCTTTCAACCTTACGCTCGAAGCGACGACGCGCGACTGAAACTGCAGACTTTTCTGAAGGTAGTAGAGCTGCGGCTCAATCTATAGTCGCTGCTGAACGGTTGTAGTTGCTCATGTTGCTGTTGCGATTGCTGCTGCTGCTGCTGTTGCTGCTGCTGCCAAAAGCCAGCCAAGTTGACGATGCCCAGCCAGCCGCAGCAGCAGAGCTACTCTTTTTGAAACAGAGTCGTGGGCAGATGGTACAAAGTTTGACCAAAACATGGAAAGACCTTGTAAAATGATAAAAATAGTTGAACTTCCGTGGAGAAAAATAATAAAAGTTAATAAAGAATTCAGAATAAATTCTGTTGAAAAAATTATACAGTTAAATAGTGGGTCATATTAAGACTTTATTTACTTACCAAGACGCGAAAATAAAATTAAGTTAGCTTTTAGGTTAAGTCTAATAATTATATGAATGAACTTAAGTTAAGCATTTAAGATTCAAAGATACAAAACTAAATTGATTAACATTCAGAATCAAGACAGTCTCTTACCTTGATATAAACACAAATCTATTTAAATTGAAATTTCATTTATGGTCCTTTGGTGAATCAGAAATAATAACGACTTCTAGTTAATAGTAAAAACTTAAACTTAAACTTAAGACCTACACCGTTGCATTTATTTTGGCTTAAAAAACCTTTTAACTAGAGCATTTCTTAGTTTGCTTGGCATCGACATATTTTCCATCTTGGGGCTTTCGTTGTTGCGTTTGAGTTTTGCTTTCTTTGACGTTTTGCCACTGAACGTTTTCCCAGTTACTTTTTATGGCCTAGTAATGTAAAAAATTACCCACAGCGACGACAGAAACAATGGCAAGCGATTTGATAAACTAAGATTGTCAATATTTATGACTAAAAATTATACTGCAATTATATATACATATATATATATATATATATCTATCAATATGTATCGAAAAGATTTATGCTGTAAGTGCGAGTGTAAGTGTGCGATTTACGCAATGGTCGAAACTGGAGTGACAAATAAATAAAATGTATCTGTGGGATACTGCAGCTGACATCTACTGCAGCTGTGCGGCGTTTTTAGTTTCCTCCGGCCAGCTCATTTTTTTGTCTTCTGTCTTTTATTTACCACTTGGGACTTTGTTTTGTTTTTCTTCGAACATGACGTAAACGGAAAATTAGTTAGTTCATCGTAGTTTTTGTCGACTTGAGTGAGGCGGTAGTTGATGATGGCCAGAATGGCGTTTGCATTTGGCATTGAAAAGAGAGATGATGCTCATTAGCAAATAAGCGGTGATAATTAATTTGTAATTTTGTTTTCGGTTTTCCATTTTTCTACTCTTGTTTTTTTCTTCGCCATCGTTTCACGCTGCGTATGCGCAATGGATGGGAATCGCATTAATTGGAAACAGGAACAGGTAAGCTCAATGTTCGCTGCAATCGCCGTTTGTTACACTTTAAGCACTTTTCGAAACTATCTTTTCGACACACAACACTCACTTACATATACACACACACACACACACACAACCAAAGAAATGCCAAAACATATATACACATATATATACATCTATATAAACTCCAATATATACGAACATATTTAACAAAGGAAAAAAACCAATAAGGAAGCAATCGTAACATAAAAAGAGCAACAAAAAAACTCTTGTAAATATTTAGCTCGCTATCTCTGTTTTAAACCATTTCGCTAACTAATTTCGCCGCTGGGTGATTCGTGTGCATAATTTTCCAAATGCAAGAGGCGGGTAACGGCGAACGTGGGCGTAATACAACAGGCCCATGCAACGAAGCTTTTGAGAAGATTACCTCACAAAGTTTTGACATAACCAAAGCTAATTAGTAAATGAACGCGTTTTAGTGGTTGTAGGCGCGGTTTAATCCCAGATTATTCAGTTGAGCAAAGGAAATTTAAATTGCAGCCGAAAAGTGTGCTATTAAAATGTTAGAAGCATTCTAGTTTATATATTCATGTAGCCAGCAACATGGGAAGGCAAGCCTATCAACATGTTGCTTAGCAACATATGTTGCCAAGAGTAAATAGGAAAATGTAGAAATTTTTTAAGTAATAATTTACAGATTTTCTAACTAGTTAAATAGCTAATATAGAAATATATACAACAGTTAAAGTTGATCTATATAAACAGTAGCTTTTGTAGAGATTTTTTGATTTAGACACATTATAAAACCCATTTTATGGTTAAGAGTCATGTCGTTAGGTATTCATATTCCAATAGTACATCTAAGTAGTTATGGTTACTTGTAACCTCCTGTACTCTTCAATATGTAACCAACTCAACTATATGTATATCCAGTAATAAACTTAAAAAGTAGCTTGACTAGCTTAATATACATTTAACTTAGGAACCCTAACAAAAACGACCCACAAAATCCTCCTATTACTTTCTCTCTATCAAAAACCTAGCACACTGATTTTCTATTTCCCCCCCTCTTTGATTTCTCCCCTCTACCACTCGAGTTTGTCATTTCACCCCGGTCACACCCTCAGCTCAGTTTTTGTGTTCTTCCCATCAAAGCCATTCGAATCCAGAGATCGCTTTTCAGTTTGAATTTCCGTGACCTCTTGTCCCCCGTACTCCCCGAAATTGTTCTTGTTTGTTCATTTGTGTGCATTTCAGGGCGGCTACTTAGATGGACTGCGTTCACATTTGGGTGGTTTAACACAACGTGTCAAATCATGGTATTGGGGACGACCTCTAGTAAGTGCCAATGTATTTTTCGTTAAAACGTTAAAACGAAAACCAAACAAAACAACAACAACAACAAAACTACTTAATAATAACTAAAAAAAAAAAGAAAACATCACCAGCAACCACAAAATAGAAATTGTGTTCGCAAGTTCAGTGGAATAATAATTTTTGTCTGCGAAATGTTCTCACAGTCTGCATTTTGTTTTTCTTTTGGAACAAGACTTGCATCTCGTTGCATTGAATTTAGCCTGAACTTAGTATTGTTGCCAATCACTCTATCTCACTCGCTCTGTCTCTCTGTCTAACTCTGTCTATCTCTCTCTATTAACTTAAACTTAAACTTAAACTAACTTAATCGTTTCTTTGAATGTGCATTGCAACGAAAGCCACTGCAACTGCCATGAAAAATAACAATAAAAATTTTTAAGATTGTTTTTCCAGCATTTTGTGTTGTATTTTCGTAGGAAATGTGTTTTAGTTTTTTTGTGCTCTCTCTATCTCTATCTCTCTCTCTCATTCCAAATCAAATCTTTGCTTGCCCCACAAGTTAAACAACATTATTTCCATTTTTTATTTTCTGTTTTGTTTGTTTTCGTGGCGCACTTGAAAACTTTTCATATAGATTTCCTTAGTCTGTTTTTTGTAAAGTAAATTGTCAATGTAAGTATTTAAATTAAAAAAAAAACAAAAACAAAAGCTAAACAAGACACAAGACTAAAAAGCCAACAATGCATTTTAAAAAGCAAAAAGGTCAAGCCTTTAAGACAACAAAAAAAGAACGTACAAAAGTGAATAATAAACAAAAAAAAAAAAGAAAAGCTTGAAAAATACATTTGCACATTTACGCATGAGTCACCCCGATTTCTAAACACACGCAAAATATCAATATCCGTATCAGCATCGAATAAATTGGTCTTGGTTCACCGCCAGCCATAAATCACCCACCTTTTCACCTCTCTCTCTCTCACACATCGATTTGTAGTGTTTTTATAACATTTTCACTTTTCATTTGCCCTGTAATTAGTGTAAATCCCAATTTATGTTGCCCTTCATTTTTAGCTGCTGCTCTCCCACACACTCACATACACAAACGAGACACCCACCCACACATAAGCACCTCCAAAATCCAACATAGTCGTAGTTAGCAGCTCTTTAGTCCTGTAAAATACTCGTAAGTTGAAGTTTTTTCAAGTTTTAGTTAGCGCTACATTTTGGTCTTACCTAGAACGACTTAGACTAGCTAAAAAAAAAACAAAAAACCAATATCTAAGTGTCTTAGTTGCCAAATCTTTGCCATTAGCTTTTATATATAGATTGTATAATAATTAATGTATAGTTGCAAAAAAAAAGCCTTAAATTGCACAACAACTCAAAGACAAACACAAAACAGCCACACACACACACAGAGACAAAACCCACAGATACGCACACAGCACTCGCATATTCATAAATTGCACTTTTGAACTCAGCTTAGTCCCAATTACTAATTAAGTGAAAAGCTTATGGTCTTCAGTGACTAGAAAGTGTTCATTTCGTTCTGTGTGTTGGTGATAAAAAAGGAAACGATATTAATATATATAAGGGAATGTATAAAAGTGCTAAAAAATACGGTTGATTCGGTTAAAAATAATATTGAAAATCTTTAAAAAACTGCCCGTTTTTTTTTAACTTTATCACTAAAGGTTACCTTATCTTAAAAATATCTTTAAATTTAACTCAATTAACTTTGCCAAGCATAAAGTTAAACCCTAGATTTTTGTATTTTTACTACTTTTTGCCTTCCCTTTTCGATTGCAAAAATAAAAACCAAAATATAAGCTAAGCTGCTTTTTCCAGTGACAAACTGAAAAACCACTGCCAAGCCAATCAGGCAATCAAAGCTTACATCAAAAAATAATCCAATATTGGTGAAAGGTAACCAAAAATCTAATGCAAAAGGAGAAAAACAGAAAAACATGAAAGCTCTGCAATTCAAAGCAAATCAGCTCAGCTCTGCTCTAGTCAGTTCACTTCGAATGCAAATCGATAACACCAATCTCTGACAGGTCCCCTCTTCTGACTCTTTCTATCTATCTAACTCTATCTCTATCTCTCTCTCTCGAAGCACGCTTATGCTGTCCCACAAAAACCGCCCAACCACCACTCAATTTAACCCACCGTATAGTCAACTGTCATACTTTATTCAATTAAATTTCTATCTGTATGTTTGAAAACGAGCAAGATTAAAAAAAAAAAAAGTGAAATACAAACATCAGCAAACACTTTCTAAAGCGGCTACAAGCAAGAACTTTATATATATATATATTATATATTCTAACCATATTTCACACGCAACCAAAAAATATACAGTCTACCAAGATAAATCTACAACGTTTATTAATCTCTACTACAAGCAACTACAACGAATTCTTATGCAAATATCTCTACTATTTTCATTTTACATTCAACTTATTGTACGACCAAAAATCAATCAAATGTTTGCTCACTCTGCAAAAATCAAAACAAACTATCAAATTCATTGCCAAAATACAATGTGGCCAAATCTGAAAAAAATAAAAACAAAACCAAAAAAAACAAAAAATAGGAGTTGGCCACAAAACTCTCACGAAGTTTCGATATGAAGGAAGAAGGCGGCACATTGCTGGGCGATAAAGGTGTACGAAGGCATCAGGTGAGTGCTACTCCAAAAACTAGTGCAAGCACACTAACTAATAACAGATATATCTATAACGAATAATAATAACTGAATACAGCACTTGAATGCCAACAAACAAACAAAAAAATAATAATAATCGTATGAGAAACCAAATCAAAGTTAAGATTTTCGTCGGTTTTTTTACTTTACAAAATTCGGTCACCCCAGAACATTTCATGATTCATTCCAAACAAATCACACAAAATTTCTACTTTCTCTCTCTACTATCTGTTTCTATATATATTTTACCTATATAACTCCAAAATAAACAGCAACTATGCCATTGAATATATATACCTAAGACTTAGCAATTATATGTAAATTTGAATTGGCCTAACTTTCCATAGCTTGAACCGTTTCCTATTGTTTAAAAACACACGTAAATAAATACAACAAAAGTCCTTGATTATCAACAAATTGTTAAATTGCTTGCCTTTAACAAATCACAAAATCTACTTTAACAGCTTGACCCAAAGTTATATTTGATCAAACCAAAACACAATTTGAACTTTAATCTTAGAAACTAAGTTGGTTAGCTAAGAAGTTTAAACTAAAAACTGTAAAAGAATACTTAAAATTCGTAAGTTATTTAGTTTGTATATCATAAGTCTCGATTTAATTTATTTTTCAGTCCATGCAGCGTCTGTCAGCGGAGCAGAATGGTGGTTCAACGACTGAACAAACACATGAACACAATCCAAACGTCGTACCTGATCATAGAGGCAACTTACACATTACAGTTAAGAAAACCAAACCAATTTTAGGTATTGCTATCGAAGGTGGTGCTAATACAAAACACCCGCTCCCTAGGATAATCAATATCCATGTAAGTACTTATGCTTCTTTATATATTAGTAATGAAAATGAAACTAACTTTGATCTTGCAAACAGGAAAATGGTGCAGCATTTGAAGCGGGCGGCCTAGAAGTCGGGCAACTCATACTGGAGGTAGATGGAACCAAAGTGGAAGGTCTACATCATCAGGTGAGATTAAATAATATAGTTTTTACGCTATTAAGATACTAAATAATCTGTCTGTAGGAGGTTGCTCGACTAATAGCCGAATGCTTTGCTAATCGTGAAAAGGCTGAAATAACCTTCTTAGTTGTCGAAGCAAAAAAATCAAATTTGGAACCGAAGCCAACGGCGCTGATATTTTTAGAAGCCTAACATTTGCTTGCCCTGCCGGCCAGTGACCCATTGGAACGACAAAAACTTGAGTTCCTTTATGAATGGGGCATCGATTTAACGGAGACGCCAAAACCAATGCCAACACCAATACCGCTAACGAAAGCCAAGAACCCGCCGCCACTGCCACATGAAATGCACAACAACATCAATAGCCATTATGGTAGCAGTGCGGCGATCAGCAATCATCAACCTCATCCGCATACGCATCCGCATCCACATCCTCACCAGCAACAGCAGCAACAGCAGCAGCAGCAACAACAACAGCAGCAGCAGCCGCAGCAGCAACAACATCAAAACACTAAAACGTCTAACACTAACAACACACAAGGAACACCAACGGGAGGAGCAGCAACAACTGCAAGTAAACAACAACCGGGAAACACTAACACACCAACAAAGGCATCGCGTGAGGCAACACCCACACGGGATCAACATCAGCCACATGCTACGCCCACACGCGAACACCAGCAGCAAACACCCACCCGCCAGCAGCAACGCGAGCAACGTGAACAACGTGAACAGCAGCAGCATCAACGCGAACAGCAGCAACATCATCGCGATAGGCAGCTAAATTTGCGGGAGCAACGCGAACAACGCGAACGGGAATATCAACACGAACACGAACACCACCACGAACACCAACACCACCAACAACAACAACACCACCACCAACACCATCGTGACCATCACGAGCAACACCACCATCACCACCATCATCATTACTCATCTGGATCACAGCAGCAACACCAACGCTACAGCAGCAGCAGCAGCAACAACTACAAATCTCATAATAATTCCGTTTACCAGTAAGGAGAAACCGAACAAAAACAAAAACAAATACAAAAACACCATACAAAAAAAGTCAAAATGCAATTCTAGCAATTGGAGCAACAAAACTTTTGGAAACATTCTCTCAAAACTGCAACAGCAATTCAATCAGTAAACAGTTTAATTGTGCTACCTTTGTTAACAAAGACCTCTCTCTCTGCCCCCCCTCATGCACGCCTCTTACTACACTGAACTACACAACGCGCTTGACCAAAAATTATCCCTAAATTGTCCCGGCTATATCCGATTATAACTGAATTATATGAGCCAACATATCCCGCTTCACTAGGCTTCCTAGAAATGTGTTAATTTGTTGTAGCTGAAGAGATGCTCTAAACAAAAAAAAGTCAAATATTTCAAGATTAGGTCTTTGAACCTCTTTTAAGTTACTTTCTTTTTGTTTAATTTATTAAACAAGTTCCGATATATCAAATGAAAAATTTTAACACTGCCAAGGTTAAAGAAAAAAACAATACAAACAAAAATATACAAATAAAAAGCAAGAGCATCTCTATAACCCTCACTTGGCTTTCCGTTCTATAACCACAAAGCAGTATATGGCTTCCTACCCCTGATAAAAAAAAAACTGTCTTAGTACTAGAACCAAGAACCACTCCAATCCTCAACTGGAATAACCAGAGACAAGACCTATATTCAGACTTTAGGTATCCCTAAGAACCCCCCTACTATCGAACCACACTTACTAACCACGCGCTAGTCGAATTGTGTAAAAAACAAAATCTGTGTAAACTCTAAAAACATATTATTGTATGATTATTAATTATTATTACTATTGATTATCAAGCGAGCAAACGTAGCTTAGACCGTTAGTCATTACTTGTTTAAACTAGTGACGAAAGACAAGTTTAGGTTCACACGTGATTACTGTAAGAGCAATGTTATTTGATGATAAACCCACAAAAGAGCCCCCTCACAAACCCAATAAGGCATACATTAAGAAAATCAAGAGCTTAAAAAATGTTAAAAAAGTGAACAAGTAAAATATCTTTAAAGAAAAAAAACCCCTTAAACCGTAAGCCAGAAGAAGAAGACGATGCAGAGAAATGAAAATGTTGAAGAAACAAGATTTAAAGGCACCACAGACACTGTAAAATGTAAAAATAACCAGCAAATTAGTAACGAATTGTCGCTTTTGTTAGATTCAAAAAAAAAAACATACACTAACTAACACTAACACACACAAGTACACACACGCATGCACGGCACAAACACACATACACTCGCATGCATATTGCCAAATTGATTGTATTTACAGCAGCTAATTGAACAAACAAACAAGAAAACGAAAACGAAAAACAAAAACCAACAACAAACAAAAATGAAGCCCACCTAAGCAAAAAAGATAATTTGTAAAAATTAAAAATAATCTTAAAATTAAATCACAAAAAAAACAATGTAAAAAGCTATAAATATATATTAAAAGAAGGAAGCAGTAGCTATGGCCACAAATACACACACATACAAACACTAAATACACATACACCAATACCAACACCCACTCAAAAGTACTTAGCCCAAAAAAGCGCATCGATTCTAAATTTTAACCAAAATATCAAATTATATACTCGCAGTGTTGTAAGGTTAATCGATATTTTTAGTATTTCGACAATGATTTCTTGACCATATTCGATATACATATATCTTTCGATCATTTCGTATCGATAAATCTAACAACACCGCAAGGCATATCCCTGTTATTAGTACAACTTAAACTGCACACTGCACAATTTTTGAATGTTTGTTAAATGTTTTAAAGAGCAAATGCCGACACCAGGAAAATCCGCTGCAAAATTGTATTCTCCTCACCTCAAAACTAACTTAGGGAAATTCCCAGGCACCCAAACCCAAACCCCAAAAACCAAACTCCAAAACCTGAAAAAAAAATGGTAAACGAATTATGAAACTGCTAGGGCAGAAGGGCCTCTTCGCCTGCTCTGCCACTAAAAATGCAAACAAAACAAAAATAAATAACATTAACGCGCTGTAGAGACAAGAAGAAATTAACGCTTAAAATTTGAGGTTGATTGGCATTAAGTAAAAGTTAAACGATGTTAAAGCAGGGAGAGCCGAGCCGACAGGGCGCGATCACGAGCAAGTAAAAAAAAAAAGAAATTATATAACTTAACAACAAGGCACGACAAGAACAACAGTCTGTGCTAACTATAACTTCATACGTATTGTGTAAAAAAAAAGAAAAGAAAATATTAGCAAATGACAAAAATCCTTTTTATAGATGATCAAAAAACCAAAGTATTTTTCGCTCTCTATCCTTCACTTTTCGATTATATAGAAAACGATCTACCTATCTATCTGTCACTCACTCAGTCAATCGTTCAGTCAATCGTTTCGGCAAGTTTGTTGATTTCGTTTGTTGTGTGTGATAGTGTTTGGAATAAAAATGAAACTTTTGCATGTCACAAGAGCAATTTGTTATATAACTCCCCTTACCCGCCAAAAGCCCCCTCCCAAAAAGCAAGTTAACTTTGTGTCTACTAAAACGATATGATATGGATAGGGCATTGTTCCTATGTCGGGCTTGTTTATTTTTTATCATCTCCAAAAAAAAAAAAATCTTCAGAAAACCAAAAGAAAATCTATTTCTCTGCTTAACTCTCTTTCTTATTAACTCTCTTTATGTATGTGTCTGTGTGGAAAGTAAGAAATATACAAAATTATTGCAATTGAAATTGAATCGTTATATATGAGGTATTGTACTTGTACTTTTTGTTGACTATTATGTAATTAAACGCTTTACTGAATATCAGTTATGTACATTTTTTAGCTAAAAGTAAAAATTAAAAACCAAATTCAAGCAAAGAAGCTTATGCTGTTACTTATTGTTAGTGAATTTACCACAAAAACAAAAATCTAAACAAATAAAACTCAAGTTAAATTTTCAAAAATTTATAAATACAAAAAAAGAAATAAAAAGAAAAGAAAAATCATTTTGCAATGTTTATGCGTGAAGAAAAAGATGATGAAGGAAAAAAAATATCAAGGGGATTGCCTTGTGGACGCACTCACGCCTTTGTATATTGCGATACATTTTGATGAAGGAGGCTTAACTTAAACTTTGAGAACTACCAGATAAATATCTATTTAATATAATGTATACATGCATACAAGCAAACATATAAACATATACCGTATATAAAACGTATGCTAAACTATATCTAAATTGTAAACGACAATGAGAAGCAATTTTAAGCAAAATGAAGAAAAACCATTTCAATTTCAACTTCAATACCCCCAAAACCTTCCCCCCTCTCACAAGCAAAACAAAAAAAAACACACACGGATGATGTAAACCATTTATGTGAATTAATATGTATAGAACTATATATATATATACATAACTATGATTACAAACAGCAACAAGGCTATCTATATGCTATGCTAATGAAAGGGTAAACGGCATTTAAAACTCATTCAACCAAAAAAAAACAAAAAACAGAAACCGCATCACACGGGAAAAACGGAAATGAAAGCTTATAAATACCATATAGAACCGTATATGTACCATACCATATATAGAGATCCAGAACAAAAACCAAACCATCTACCACGTAAATATCGTATATCGTAAATAGCAATAGCAGTTAGTTATAGTTAATATGGATAGCTATATTACCGAATAGCAAAAGCAAAGCCTCAGCCGAAGCAAACTTGTTGTACGATTAAGATTGAGCTAGACTTTTAACCAGAGATAATCCAAACTTGTAGATATATCGATATATCACATATAAAGTGTATGATTGTGTATATTACCGGATAAAAAACAACAAATAAAACTCTTATGATTTCCAGGTCTCGCTTTTGAGTTAATCCTCTTTAAGCCCAAAACAAAACTATATATCAAAGCCCCTTTAATGCATTCCTGACCAGACCACAAAACCAACTACAACAAAAACAAACTGTGCCACCTAGTACATAACAAGAAATGGTTATATATCTGTATCTGCTATATAAACACGATAAACACATACAATTTAACACGGACTTGTACTATATCTAGATATATATACATATATTATATATAGAGAAGGAGGTAAACATTCAACAATGCTCACTTTTATATTTTTTATCATACATACATACCTACTATATCGAAAAGAAAGCTAATGAAAAATAAAAGAAAAACCAAAAATGAAAGGACACAGAACGAAGCACCGTAAGAACCACTGAACCACAAAATCAAACATAGGAAAATTCTCATGCCCAAAAAGAACATATATTTATATATAGTGTACAAGTTCTATATACCTAGATATTGCGTTCCATTGCTTTTTAGAGCCAATTTGCTTTGCTTGCGAGACAAAATCCCCTGGAAAAAAACCCCCGTACCTCTATATTATTTTTATTTTTGAAAAACCTCTGAAAATCCCCGATACCCAATTCAAAATGACAATTAGGAAAGATAACACCAGGCATAAACGCAAAAGATCGAGCTAAAAACTTAGTGCTTAGTGTTTAATGATAACAAAGAATTCCAATAAAAGTATTTCAGTTGTGTATATTGTAAAGAACAATTATAAATGAACAAAAATATAAAGTTAAACATTTAAAGAATAATTCAAACAAAAATTTATTGAAACATTAATAAAAAAAAACAAAAAAATAATTGTATTTATCAAAATTAATACAAAACAAATCTAAGGCATTAGCATAGCAAAAGATAATGGTATACATAAATTGAAATGAAAATGAACACAAAAAGCGCTGATTTAATATTATATTATTAATTATATTATTGCAAACAACAAAGTGAAAAACAAATGATATTGTCCTTGGTATTTACATATACATAAAGAAAACAGCAAAAAAAAAAAAAAAATAAAAAAAAGAAAACGTTTTTTTATATAACCGAGATCTTTTTGGGCAGCTGATCTGCATGGTATTCATCTAGATGGGTGGGTAAATTTGGTAAAACATTTTTAAAATGTTGGTATATATTTTTTTAAAACATTTTCAAGCAGAGCAATACTTATTGCGGCCTTGTTTTTAATCCAATTATGTATTATCTGATTAAAAAAAAAATAATAATAAAAAATTTTGTAAACGGGGTATTAAATTTAAAGTTTACAGTCAGTAGTTTATTAGTAATATAGATCAAATTCATTTTTAATAAAAGTATTTTATTTAACTACTTTTTTAAATTTCGGCGCCCAAATAGCCCCTCATGCGATGAATAATCGGTTAATCGATAGACGCGAGCGAGTTCGAATTTGGAGAGCGAGATGGCACGACATGCCGCACTATGTGTTTATAAGCGAGAACGAAACTTGGTTCGGCAACAATTTCAAACAAGACGTTAAAGGCGACCGTGCCTGCCACTGACTGTTCAGGAGCCCAGTAAATCCTGCCAGGACTCCAGTCTCAAAACAAACCGTTTAAAACAATACAAAGAACTCAGTTTTAATTTTTAAAAAGTGCGCGCTTCCTAGCCGAGTTTTAAAATCCAAAAAATAAGTAAATATTATTATAAAAAATGCCTTTCGCCCACGAACAACTTAATCTGGTGGCCAGCGAGCAGCTGAGCAAAACGGAGACCATCAAGCTGCGCAACCAGCACATCGGGTAAGTCACATCCTTCCGTTGTCCGTAGTCCTTATTCCGTAATCCCTGGTCCGGGTCGTGAGCCTGCGACCTTGCCTTGAATTCGCTTTGGCTGTCAAGGTCAGGCGGCATCCCCCACGCGGCCCACTCATCGTTTTCCATCTCTTTCTCGCTCTCGCACTAGTCAAAGACACAGCCCGCCTGATTTTCTTGTATTTTCGTATTTTTGGCACTGTTGCCAACAGCAGCCACCCAAAAGAGAAATACTAAAACAAAAAGTACTCACTAAACAAAAACAAGAAACAGGAAAACACAAAAACAAAAACATGCAGAAGTGGCGCTTTTTTAGATTTTGGCTTTATTGATTTTTATCGCCTGACTGCAAAATAATAGGAAGCCTAAATTAGAAGTATTGCCAAAATAAATTCAAAAAGTTTGCGAGGAAGAAGGGGGAGGATTTTGTGTTGGGCTTATGAAATCCGACTTAAATGAATTTAATTCAGTTATTAAATTTATCATTTTGTACTTTATAGATTACAATTTAAATTGCCTAAGAGGCAAATTTTCTACAGAACGTGCCCATTTCGTGGAATATTTTGTAATTTGCAAATTTCAAAGCCATAAACCTAATTATTCAAAAACGGGTTGGTTTTTTATGACTAAAAACTCTTACGTAGTAAGCTAAGCTAATTGCTGTCAACTTTCAATTTTTAAAATAGGAAAAATTGTAAAAAATCCATCACCTAATAATTAATATTAAGATCAAAGTGCAGCCCGTTAACAGCTTTATCCCCGTTTTCTTTGTTTGCCCAAAGTCAACCATAAAATGTTTATCAAACACCCTGCAAGACGCCTTGTTTTTGTGTGACAAACACAAATACAATAACCATTAAATTCGGGAGTGGGAACGGGAATAATCTTAGCGATTATAAGTGCGACTGTGGACTGTTGAAATAGGCCCCGGTTAATGGTGTAACTCTATAGTCTGATATACGTCATTGCATTTTACTTTGTCGTCGAGACTTTATTGTCTTAATTAGCTGTTTACAATATAACTAATATCTGGTGATTTTTTTTTATACTTTTTTCTTTAGGCAAGCCTGCCAGCTTTTCTATCGCTCTGATCCTCTGAAAATTGTACGCGGCCAAGGTCAGTACATGTTCGATGAGGAGGGAAACCGGTATCTGGACTGCATCAACAATGTGGCTCACGGTAAGTTCGTTTATTCAAAGATAAATATCTGAAAATATTAAATGGGATATGTAAAATATAGATTAATCGCCAAAATATATATACTTTATAAGAACAACATCTAAGGGTAGAATAACAAAAATTGTATAGATTTCTGATGCTCTTTTCATCAGTATCTTAGATGTTTTTAAGGAAAGATCACCTTTTTTATCTCCAAAAAAAGTAACAAACAGCTTTAAATATATGTTTAAGGCAAAATATACTTAAAAAAGGTACAAATCGATTATAGACTTTACCTCAATTGCATTATAAAAATTCCAAATTGAACTAGATTTCGCTGAAATCGTTGCCAGGGCATCATATTTGATTACTTAGACGGCAATTTTTGGAACCGGGGCCTGATGACGTTTTTTATTCCGGCCGTCGACACTTGGCAGCTGGTAGATCCTATTTCGGTTTATGCTGATTAGCAGCCGCGGCACACGCCCAACAAATGGCTAAAGTTTAGAGCCAAAGTGCATGGAGTACAGCAAGTGCACTTGTACTGGGGAGGTGTGCTGGTGGGCGGACTCTCACATTTGGCAACAAGTTCAAGGTTAACCGAATAAATAGATGTAGAATGAGTGGCAAGCGGGCCAGACGATGGCGGCATGATCAGGCCCCGATTGAGAAGCCCACTGTCAACTGAGTCAGCCTTATCATAACGACCCAGTGGCTAATTTTTAGATGCTGCCTGACGGAATCGCAGACTGTGGCAATTGAAATTCGGCGGGCGGGCCTGGCCACTTGGTTTTGATTTCAGATTTCGGGCCCCGACACAGTGCTGCAGAGCAATAACTGGTGATTAAAATAACAGTGTCATCAAGACAATCGCAATAACAATAACAATAAGTGGCCAGGGGAGCACATTTGCGTATAAAAAATACAATACGTATTACGAGCATACACATTCGTATGTTATATATCACCTAGGGGGTCCCAGTAAATCCAGTCTAACCATATCAACTTATCAACAACGATGGCCCAACAATAACAACAACAACAACAGGAATTGACGTCGGCAACCAATTTGCCAATTTGCTGTTTCTGGGATCTGGGTAGCTCAAATTGTTTGCGTCTTGTTTTGTATTTTTCCAAAACACTTCCTACAACGGAAAATTTCCATTTACAAGATTGAAGTGACATGAACTTCCTTAGCTAAAAAGTGCAAATTTTAAAAGATTTTATTACAATATATTAAAGTTAAAAAAGGGGTCAACATTTTAATCATATTATTGTGTTCCACTTTTTTATTAAATTAGTTTTTCGTTTTGGTTTAACGCTACCCACCACTGATAAGCTAAGGCCATTGGCATTGCAAATGTACTGAAAAATCATGAAAAGAAATTCAGATTCCAGTGGGACTTTATAATGCCGATTATTTATTAATAGCTTCCCTTTCGGTTTAGGAACTACCTACAGTGGGGTCTCATCAACTGGGTCCCAAACTATAAATATTCGATAAAGGGTTATCAATAATGAGGGCAAATGGCTATAGTTGTTTACCTTTCACAGATAGTCACCTGATGATGTTTGCACCTTTAAGCATTATCAACAAAATGACTTTGTCGTTAAGGGTTTTATTTACAATTACATTTATTTATAGCAAAACTATAAGAAAACAAAGCAACTAAAATTAAAGTATAATATAAAGAATCTGAATCTGAATCTTCCTCTGTGTAGCCAAAACTAGCCTGACCTACTTATGAACGTTTGCACATTTCAAGCGACGATCGCAAAACTCAGTCAACTTCGAACGGGCCCTTACGATCATGAGGCGTAATATTAGACTCATAAGGAGGCTCGTAACTTATGGCTATACCCCATAAGTCATCAATAATAAAGTAAGAAATCAGTCCTCAAGCAAACATAACATCAAACTGGCACTATAAACCTGATAAGACCGACAAGCGGGTGCACGTGTTGACCATCTACGATCTGAATAACAAGTTGTTATGAAACTTCAACCACGTTCCGCGTAATCTCGTGCTACTTTTCCTACTCCGGTCCTCGAAGAGGAAGCAACATGTGAACGTCTCGTGCGAATGGAAATGTACTCGAGATAGCGACTAAGCACAATCCGGAGGAAAAAAAAGGGGGAGGGGCCGTTGCCGCCCGGGGAGAGTCCACAAGGCGTACAGTCTGCCTGACCATCCATCCAGTCATTCGTCCGTCCATTGCTCTGTGCCCGTAGTCTAGTTTCAATATTTGTCGTAGTGCCCCTACCCCACGAGAGATCTGAGCAATCAGCTGTGCCACTCAGCACACATTGCGAGTGGAAAATTCTGACCAGATAATCGGAAAATACACCCCAAGCTGTGGGCTGTGAAAAGTCGGACAAACAGCCGATATAAAAGCAAGAGCAAGTGGATGTGGAAGCATGTCATCGTTACCACTTGTAGATTGGCCACAATGTCGCACAAAGCTATGAAAATTTGCACATTGTGTGGGATATACAAAGTAGAAAGCGGAAAATGTTTAAATATAGCTGATCACCAAATGGGAAAACAAGTGAAATGGCCTTATGGGGAAATAAGAGATTAATTAGGTAGTGTAAGTAAAATAATTAGGAAATCCCTAGCTGCAGTTACTAACTGAAAGTAACTAAACAATAAGTATTTCTCAGGCATAACTGTACTTCTTGACCACTTGAGAAAACTAGAAACGAAATCGCAGAGACTACCCCATGGTCATTTCTCATTGCAAACCTAATCGGGGGAATAAAATGGCTATATAATTTCAGGGCACTGATTATTTTCTACAAACTAGAAACGTGAAGGCATCGCGTGAACTTCACGTGATACGTGGCTCGGCGGGCACTACGTCTTATCAGAAGGCGTGAGTCTAAGTCCAAATACTATAAATGAGAGTACGCGCCAGAATTAGAAACGCAATCGGTACGAGTAGTTGACCCCCAAAACCGACGCAATCTATAGTCGTTGACGGGAGCGGAGTGGTCTGGGTCCCGGGTCTTATCGCCCATCCGTCGGGGCCTACGGAAAAGTGATAGACTTATTGGATGGCGACGCCGTTTCATTTGGATCCGGGCCTGTCTGCAAGCGTTTTATTTTCGATGCCATATCAGATTCACTTGATTTTCTAAGGTGCGATGCGCAAACGGCGGGGATAATTAAACGAGCAGAGGAAAATCACGTGCGCGACTTACTTATTTTTAGGCACGCCCGAAGTACACATTCAAGTGGGAAAACTTGGGCCAAGCTAATCGCAAGTTTATAGATCTTGATTCTGGCACTTGAAACTCGCGACAAAAGATTTATTTTTGGGCGTTTCATCAGCATGAGTTTTGTATTCCACGCGTCTCGTCTATTGGTTTTATAATAGAATTTTTATGACACCTGTATAATATGCCCTAACCTATATCAATCAGTTGGGGATTAAATAGGTTTAATGGTATATAATTTGTGATTTTTGCTTTTGAAATGATGTATAACAAATTTCTATGTAATGTTTATATTGACTTGCCATTGATATCAAAGTAAAACTTTAAGTTAAATTTAATAAATATTTATAAAATACTTTACTAATATACTAAAATAAAACAATTATTAATTTTTCATTTCCTTTTCTCATATTTGCAGTGGGTCACTGTCATCCCGAGGTGGTGCGAGCTGGAGCCCTGCAAATGGCCACTATCTCAACCAATAACCGCTTTCTTCACGACGAGTTGGTCCAATGCGCTCGCACCCTGACCAGCAAAATGCCGGAGCCATTGTCCGTGTGTTTCTTCGTCAATTCCGGATCGGAGGCCAATGACCTGGCTCTCCGTCTGGCCCGTAACTTCACCAAGCGACAGGATGTTATTACTCTCGACCAGTAAGTTTCATTTGATTGGTATTATAAAAGAAAAGATTATCTTATGACAAAAAATATAGGCCAATGTACTTATCTATATATATCTTTATCTTTATCTTATAGTGCCTATCATGGACACTTGCAGTCGGTGATGGAGGTGTCTCCATACAAGTTCAACCAGCCTGGCGGTGAAATAAAGCCCGATTACGTGCATGTTGCTCCCTGTCCGGATATTTACGGCGGAAAGTTTACGGATAAGATGTATCCGGATGCGGATATGGGTGCCCTGTATGCCCAGCCCATTGAGGAGATCTGCCAAAAGCAGTTGGCTAAGGGCCAGGGCGTTGCTGCCTTCATCGCTGAGAGCTTGCAGAGCTGTGGTGGACAGATTTTACCACCAGCTGGATATTTCCAGGCCGTATACGATGCGGTTCGATCCGCTGGAGGCGTTTGCATTGCTGATGAGGTGCAGGTGGGATTCGGTCGTGTGGGTAGCCACTACTGGGCTTTCGAGACCCAGAACGTCATCCCCGATATTGTGTGCGTGGCCAAGCCCATGGGCAATGGACATCCAGTGGGAGCAGTGGTCACCACTCCTGAAATTGCCCAGGCCTTCCATGCCACCGGCGTGGCCTACTTTAACACATATGGAGGCAATCCGGTGTCCTGTGCGATCGCCAATGCAGTGATGCGAGTGATCGATCAAGAGGGTCTGCAACAAAAAGCCCTCGTCCTGGGAGATTATCTGTTGGAGGAGTGCAATCGCCTGAAACAGGAGTTTGAGTGCATCGGTGATGTTCGTGGCACGGGACTCTTTGTTGGCATTGAATTGGTTCAGGATCGGGCGGAGCGTATTCCGGACAAGAAGGCCGCCCACTGGGTGGTTAACCGAATGAAGCAGTTGCACAGAGTGCTCGTCTCCTCTGATGGTCCCAACGACAACGTCATCAAGCTAAAGCCTCCCATGTGCTTCAACCGGGAGAACGCCGATGAATTCCTGTTAGCCTTCCGGGAATGCTTGACAGCCGTGATGCAAGATCGACTGGCCAGTGCAGCATCCGCTGCCATGGCTGCCACTAGTGGCGTCATTGCCACCGCCGCCGAAACGCTGGCCAACAAGACAAAGCTCTTCGAGCGCCAAGATCGTCTCATCAAGTCCGTCTGAGGAAGTGCTTGCTGGTTGGCGAATGCCACCACCAACACAGCCTCTCCGCCCGGGCACAAAATAGCTTTAGCCACGAAGGATGTTTAAATTATTCCATAAACCCCATTTCCAATGTCCTTTTTCCTCTATTCCATGTTATCTCCAACATTTTAATTTGATTAGATCTAGTGCCATTTATCCGTAATCTACGCATATTAACGCTGTATAACCATTATTATGTTCGTCAATTTTCTTCTAGTATCTAGAAACGTAGGGAGCTCAAAACGAATTTTTTCCATTGTTACATGTATATATAAAGTTTTGATAATATTAAGTATAATATGTTAAAAATGTTATTAAAAAGTTACGTATATTTTGTAAAATTTATTGATGTTTTCAATGACTTTTGATAGATTTGTAAAAGAAATTAATTAGTATGCTGAATTGACAGGCGTGTAGCCCTTAAAATTTTTTTCATTCCAAATTTGATTTGTCTCACAGTTCCTAGTCTCATTAAGTTTGTACTGAATCTATCATAATGTTCATAATATAAATTTTCATTTTTGCATATAAGTAAAACCCTAAATGTATGCTACCCTTTTCGTTGTGGGTAAAGCAATTGGGTTTGAGTATCGAATAGATCGTGGGAGATCGACTTCATCATTCAAGTTTATAAATATTATATATACAGTTCGGATTTCACACAACACGCCTATTTTTTTTAAATTTTTTATTTTAAATGCTCAGTTTTCTTAAATCGAATTAAATTACTTCCTCGCCATTCAGTGCCTATGACTGCCAAGTAAATTCAGTAGCGGCGATTGCACATCAGGCTGCATTCGCACATCGATCGCGGTGTCCGAGAATTCCGAGCACGGCGAGCATCCACAGTTGGAGGGTACCTCGTGCTGGAATAGAAATACCATAAATATTTATACAGGACACTAAAATATTTCAATTTACTAACCTTCTGCGTAAACGTGTGACCATCCTCGCAAATCATTTTTACTGAGATCGGTTTATAGGATTTGATGCTGCAGCAAGTACAGAACTTTTCGTGCATGTCGGTGAGTGTATTGTATTTGGATCCAGAGGAGCAGGCACCCTCGCAGTCAGTGAAGCCTTGGATGGGTTCGGCATTAACACAGGATCCATGTCCTGGAATGGGGAACTTAAGGATCTCCTTCGTCCGCGACTCGGCCAATGAAACAGGCAAACATAATGCTGGAAATAAATACCGGATTATGTTGGATTGATCTAAAGAATTTGAATTTCGCTTACATTTGTCCTCCACCAGTGGCTCAGATTTGCAACGCTTACAACAGCCATCTTGGTACAACAGATGAGAGAGGCAACTGCCTATGTCCGGACATACTTCATTTGAAGTGGTAACCAAAAATTGTCCATCCTTCTCTAGGCAACTGTACGTCGTGCAATTATCATCCGATTTCCAAATGGCATTGATATCATATAGTTTCTGCTCAAAGATGCAAGACGTCTGGACACATTTGCCACAGCACTTGGTTTTGTCAAAGTTCTGATAGCTAAATCCTGGTGCACAGTCAGTAATACACTGCTCAAAAGTGCTAACCACCTGGGCATTTCCATCGGGACCATAAGAACATGTCTCTTGCTTGCAAACATCCTTGACATGCGTCCATTTATCACCCACCTGCTTGGTGAACTTAGTGGACTCGTCGAGCTCATATTGAACAATGCACAGGTCCTTGGGAGGTACTAAAAGTAAGTAAAATAGTTGTTAAATAATACGTTTTACTGAGAAGCGTATTTAGCTTACCACACGAATGCTTGGGACAACACATTCCATTTTCCTTGATGGTCTTGACTTCATAGAATCGCTCCTTGCAGTTAGCAGGTGCCTGAGGGCACGACTCTGGCTTGCATTCAATTTTTTTAGTAGGGCAGCAACCTTCTTCAATCTCAACCACAATCTCGCCTGGTAGCAATTCCCGAAGCTTAATAATTTCACACTGGTCTTTGGGTTTGCACTCTAAAAAATAATAAAGGTTTAAATAAGAAATTTACAATAAGTAAGGTAAGGCATTACCGCAAATATACTGAGAGCAGCCATTTACATCCAACTTCTGTTTTTTGAACTGTCCAGGACCACAGATGGGCATAAGAGGAGCCAAGCATAGTTTGGCTGGATCCTTAGTCTCTGGGACACATCGATATCTGGGACAGCATTCCTTCACACTGACAATGACTTCGGGCACATAGCCTTCTGCGCAGATATTCTCCTCCACTTGACACTTCTTTTCCACACACGAAGTCTTTCCATTTTTATCGCATAGACATTCAGTGCATTTATCCTTCTGCCACCTCTCGTCAGGCAAATGGATTCCATCGTCGCATTTTGTGCAGGCTATTTCCGGAACACACTTGCCACCGTCCATTACCTTTCCGGCAGGACAGAAACAGCCTTCAAAACGTTCCGAGCTCAAACACATTTCATCACTCTTGACGGTGTGCACGACCGCCTGGTTCTTAAGACTCACAGCATCGAATTCGGTCATGGCTTTGATGGTTTCGCAATTCTTAGCACAGCCACATGGCTCGTAGACCATATCACTGGGGCATTCATACGGGCAAAGGTTTGGCCTCCTCCAATTAGTGCATATTCCGTGCTGGTTACACTCCTTAGCATAAGCTGCCAGAGCCACGCAGACTCCTTGTTGAGTGTTTCCAGGCTTGCAGATGTCCTGCTGGCAAGCGGAGACATAGGAAATCGGATCCACCGCCAAAGGACACCTGCCGAACAACTCGGCATTGTAGAATTGCAAGCAGGGATCCTTCTCCGGCGGCAGTGGAATGCACTGCTCCTTGGGCACTTCCTCGCTTAGACACTCTTCAACCAGTCCCAATTTTGGTTCATCTGCCTGCCAACTTTGGATTACATCCACTCCAGCCTTTTTCTTGGCTGGATTAGGCTGAAGATCGTTGGCTGCATTGCCATTGCAGTCGCCACAAAGTCCCTCCATCTTACTGCCATATTTGATACTAGGAACACCCAAGGAGAATATCAACTCTTCGAAGGAGGCAGTCAGCTCAACGTGGGATTCGGGAAGGGATAGCACCAGCTCCTTGCCCACAACCTGCCGAAGGCTAATCCAACTGTCTTTGTATGGTATTTTCTTAACCTCGAATCCATCGACTAGAACCTGCAGAGATTTCGGTTTCTGTGGAACGCGCTGGACATGAATCACATGGTCACCATTGAGAATGTGCAGAGATTTGGCGCAGCTACCTCCCTCCACTGGAGTCGGCTGTCCCAGTTTCTTGCAGTCGTCCATAGTAGCGTAGACCTGGAATGTGTGCACTCCAGGAAGCACCACATCCCGCGACAGTAGATATGTGCAGTTTCCATTAAAACTAAAGCTCTTGCGATCATAGGTCATGTACTTGGATGCACCCAGAGCATTGCACACACAGTCCTTGCACTCGGATATGGGCACGCAGTTGGGTCCCTTTCGGACAGTTCCTTCTGGACAATAACAACCTGGGAAGCAGGCATCTGGTAGAACTGGACAGTCATCTCCGTGAACATTGTCACAGGATGGCTCACAGCGTCGCTTATAACAATCTGTGTGAACCAACGGTGCGGGACAATTAATCTCACATTGGGCCACTGCCCTCCATGTGGTCAATTGAACCAAAGGATTCACACTGAGGCACTTCTTCACAAAGCTTTCCAAAATGTTGCACTTGCAAGAGGCTGGATCACCATTGTTGGCCATCATGCAATTGCAGGCAGCTTCGAGGCAGTAATTGTTAAGGAACTGCTTATAGTTAACAGCCTTGTGGCACCGAGCAAAGGTTGGATGACTGTGGAGAAGGGGAAATATATTAGTCCAGATATAGGTTGAACGATCCTGGTACTTACTGAATGATATTACACAGCTGCAAAGCCTTAGCCTGCATTTCCCTGGAGCACTTTAGATCGCCACATTGCTCCTTGGGAATTCGCTTGTCATACCAACTGTCACCGAACTTCTCTGTATTTGCAATAATTTGGCCATCCGGAGATCTTTTATCATCCTTAGGGTTTCCATTGTAATAACCACAAAGACCATCAACAGTACGAATAAATTTGGAGGAGATGCCGACCTTGACGATTCCAATATCATCGAGCTGTACCCAGAAACCATATTTGGTAGACACCGCCAGAAGGGTCTTTCCGGGCTGGGAAACTACGAAAGAAGCCTTGCAAATAGGTGAATTTATTAACTGCTGTACAGTGAACTCAAAGCCATTGAATTTGAGCTTCAGATGAGGCAGGAGAATCAACTCGTTGCCGGCTTCAGTATCCTGGATGGTGATCACCTTGTGACAGACTTTGCGGGTCTCATCGCTACATTGCTGGTGAACTGAAACGAGAAACAAAAAAATTTGCTTTCCAGATTCGTTTATAACGTAACAATATTAATAATATTGCTTACCTGATATAGACCAACTACTCTTGTGAATATCTCTAGCCAGGATGTGGCTGCAGGGACCATATTTGAAAACAGTACCATCGAAAGTGGTGAAGCTCTTGCCGCTAATCTCGCACACATCGTCCTTATTAGGCCGGAGGACACAGGTATACTTCAGGCAGTCTCCCACCTTTGCCGTACTCATATCCAACTCTACATCGTACTTCTCCGGGCACTTTGGTTCTGTGCATGTGACAGTCTCGTTTATGTCCACTTGTTTGTTGGGAATGGGAACACATGTAAACTCATCGCACTCCTCTTCCTGTTGGAAGTCTAATTCCTGACTGGGCATAGCCAGAATTTGTTCCTTCGACGAGATGAACTTGGTCTTCGTAATGGTCATTCCGTCGTCCACTATTGATACCTGTTTAGAGAAGGTAAACATCTTGGACATCTTTCTAGACTTTTTGGCCGTGATTTTAATCTTCATCTGAGGTGGACAAACGGGTACTGGACATGTGATGACTTCAGCTGTGTCAAAATAAAAATGATTATATGTGATACAATATATATAGACAGTTTTAACTTACTCTCATTCTTTTCCCGTTTAATATCAGGCTGTACAGTAAAGGAATCACTGCAGCTGGCGTCCTCGTCATCAGCACAGTCCTGAACTCCGTTGCACCAGAGGATCTCGGGAATGCAATCACCACTGGATGGGCACAGTCTTTGATGTTTGGGACACGGCTCGCACTTACAGAAACAATCGCTGGTAATCACTGGACGCAACTTAGTATCCTGACAGGGCGGACACTTTTTGGGCTTGCAATTCTTATGGCCGCCTAGTACGCAGACGCAATCCTCGCAGGCTGAGTTCTCGAACTTGCTGCCTATCGGATAGCTAACATAGTTCTCTATGCAAGGACATAGGTTGTGCTGGACACAGTTATTGCCATCCCAGAAGAATTGATCTTGACACTGACATACGGTGGTTGGACTCGGGGCAGACACACCATCGCAGATATTGCATTTTGTGGGCTTGGCCTCTTCCACAGGCACTTGACGTTGGATTTCAGCTGATGAAGGAGATAGAAATGATACAGTGAAGGGTGATGTAAAAGGATAGAATAAGCTTACGATATGGTAAGAAGCATCCTAGTGGTTCAATACGCATATTAATGTTCCTTTCCCAGTAAGCAGGCACAACTTTAAGGTACTGAGTTAGTATGGGATTCTTGAAGTGATGCCTGCGCTCAGTTTCAGCATCGTGATTTGCCTCAAAGATCCTTGGTTGTCCGTTGGTTGATAGCACTGTATTCCACGTTGGCTTCTTCTTAGAGAACATCACCTTGTAGCCAGTGACCCATCCATCTGGACCGCCCTTTGTTACAAATCCAGAGATATTTCGAGGTTCCAAGAAATCAAACTCAATGAACTCGTTTTGACTATTGGCAAGGGGCCGCCAAGCCAGAGGTGTCGACAATTTGAGCAATTCCAATAGCTGCGTTTTCTTGGGCTGCTGCCACAAGCTACTCGATTGAACTTGGTCCTGGTACATCTTACCCTCATCCACACCCATAAGATCGATGCATTCAAGATCTACCAATTGGGCTGGACGTTCGGTTATGGGTGCGATTGTTGGAGCTGGTGCCCCTGGCAAAGGTTCCACCTTATCTCCGCAGATAAGCAGCTCCACACGCATGGCGATAGAACCATGCCATTTCAGAGGATAAATTCGTAGAGAACTGGCTTCGATGGGGATCTTGAATAGGGTCTGTACTGGAGCTCTTGAATCCAAGGGACCATTGAACATTTGAGGCTTTTCTGTTTCATCCACCAAATAGTGATACGCAATTCCATCATGACTGTGAAGGATCTGCAATAAGAATTGAAAATAAGACCGCGATAGTAGAATTACAAGGACTTACCTTGAAGAGGGTAACATAGTTATCGAAGTCCGGGCTACCAGCCATAACTACACCATAGAAGGGCTCTGGTTTGCCAAAGTTTAGTTCCAGATATTGCATTTGATCATTAATGCTAGGTGACCAGCTGCCCTTCGGATGATCTTTGGTAAGACGAGCCATTTTTGGACCATGTTCGGGGGCCAACTGAGAACTTGCATTGAATATGCTATCAGGCTCTGAATGTGTAGGGTTTTCTATCTTGTAATTGAGACTATAAAAGAATGTACATTAACTATTTATTTAAAGGAAGAATATGATTTTCTTACCGTTCTGGGGAACATTGTAGAGGTGGTGTGAGGGTAACAGGCAAAATGGGAACTGAAGGTATCAAAATCACTTCAGTTTCTAAAAACGAAGAATAGATATATAATAGTACATGCTAATTCTTCCAACTACTAACCTCCTCCCTTTGGAATAGCCTCCGGTTTGTTGGGCACACAGGTGAAGGCATTGTCAATGCACTGGCAAACCTCAAACTCCCCGAGCACGGGTTTGTGTGGTTGAACATAATGCTCAGCCTTGTCCATGCAAGGACACTCATCAGCATGAACACAGGTGTCCTCGTCACGCCAAAACTTTCCAAGTTTAGGACAATCAGGTCGCAATTCGTCCACACAACCTGGCTTACAGTGTTCGCCGATCTGGCAGAGACCTCGTTTCCTTAAGATGCTGCCATAGTAATCACAGGTATGTTCACACTGATTTGCACATTCTGACTTTATCTTGCCCGGCGGACATTGCTTGATGGGTTCGGGTTCAGGTTTTAGTATTGGTTTTAAGCCACAGTTAGGCTTCATCTCTGTAACGGTGGCTATATGGTCGCATATGAACATGGTGGGATTAAACATCATGAATTCGCCACAAGTCTGCTCCACATAAATCCAACCACCCTCAACTCCCTTAGGCTGGCAGTGCAGGAACTTATGGCAATCTCCAGGGAATTCCTTGTACTCCACAAGGGCAGCATCGCAGGCCAGGCCAAGTTGTGGTTTTTCCGTTGGTTGGGGCACATCGGGCTCCTGTTCCTCATCGCACTGGCAAAAGGCGCGTAGTTCATAGTCATGGCATTTGCCAATACACCGAAGACCTTCCTCAAGATTGCAAATCACATTCTCGTCCATTTGTTCGGGTGCCTCGTGCGTTCCTTTCACCCTGCACTCTACCTTGGTCATATATTGTTTCAGACATGTACCGTAGACATTCTCCATTCGATCATAACGTGGCACCTTCTCCTCATCATTAAGTCGCACACTCTTGTCCGAGGTATCACGATCCTTGTCACACCATCGTGTCCATCCCTTGACGCACTTGGTCTGATTTTGAGTAGCCTGAGGAGTGGGTGCAGTAGTGCCCTCAATAAGGGGAGCCGGATGTGCCGTTGTTATGGGCTCATCGCACTTTACTCCGCTGCAAATCTCCTTGCGCTTGGAGCATCGGCAAGTGGCACATGAATCCGTATAGGTAATATCGCCTTCGTAGAATGTCATGCCCTCCTTCACCATACACACTGGCTTGCATTCTGCTTTGGGCACACAATCGTGGTAGGTGTCGTTTAGATAGATGAATCCATCTTCGCATGGCTTGATGTGACAACCCTCGAGGCAGTTCTCTCGGTTACACATGCGCTCTGCAATTCCTTGATCGAGGAAGTTGTCGCAGGTCTCCACAGCACAGGCAGGAGTGCAGGCCTTGTAATCCGAGCAATGGGGATCACATTGCATTGCTACATATTAGAAATTCGAAAGTAAATTAGGAATTTTACTATTTAGGGGGAAAAACAAAACTCACGGCAAAAATGCTGGGACCTCCATCGAATGTTGATACCCTTCTGGGCACAAGCATCAGCATAGGCAGCCATGGCTGTGCACAGGCACTCGCAGTCACCGCCCTGATCACAGGCACATGTGTCGAAGATGCAACGTTTCCAGAACCGTTCCAGAGGAACCTCCGCATGGCACTCCTTAAACAGATCCGACTTTAGAGCTCCACACTTAAGTTGAGCCCATGTTTCACGTTCTGGATGCTTTTTGCAGGCATCGATAGGGGCAACGGGTGCCGAGCAGTGGGGCTGCAATTTCCAGGCATGGCCAAAGAGCATGGGACTTGTCTCCAATCCCAACGAGGGAGTCTGCATGTCATCCAGACCATTGCCATTATAGTTGCCACACAGACCGCTTACTTTTTGTCTCCACTCGTTGCCCAGCTTTACATAGACCCGAGTACCTTCGTCCCATTTTACTTGCAGCTTCAGGGGGATCACTTCTACGACGACGAATACACCAGCTTTGTAGATGTGGAATGCGTTGTGACCTTTCGAGTTGACACTATCCCGGAGTTCTAAGGAGAATTTAAATATGTTACTAAGCAGGCGAAAGTGAAAAAAGTAACTTATACTAACTCTTAATAGGTGTCTTGTTAGGATCAATGCCGTACGCAGAATCCGCACTTAGCAATAGCGATTCTTCAGCATGGCCAGTTAGACTAATTTCCAGCGACTTGGAGCAAGTCACACCCATTGTGCCACATAGAACATTCTGGATGGTTATGCTGAAGCCATCGCCATTGTCAAAAGCTCCCTTGGCAAGAACATAGTCGCAGGCTCCCTGGAAGTCAAAATCGTGGCCATCGAAAGTGGTGAAATGGGAATCTCCCCAAACGCTGCATGTGGACTCGCAGCCATTCTTCGAGCACTTCCAGTTGCCAGCTTGACATTCGCAGAGATTACAGTCCTCCTTGATCTTCTCGCCGTCATCGTAGCTTTTGCCAGCATGATGACAAGAACAGTTAGCTGGCAGGACGCAAGCCAAGCGGGAAGTGTCATAGACATAACCCTCCATGCAAACGCATCCGGGAAGACAGTCCAAAGAATCAGCCACATACTTGTCCATGTTCTTGCAGGTTTTCGGTTCTTTGGGTGCACATTTGGTGAACTCAGCGAAGGGTTGCTTGGCACACTTTGAACGCAGTTCCGATGATGGTGGATATTTATCCTTGTCACCTGGCTCGGCGTCCTGGCAATCCCACACGCCATTTGTACAGGTGCAAATATCCAGGAACTTCTCTCCTGGACGCACTTCTTTGTAGCCCGGTCTAAAGGACATGCCGTCAAAGTTGCAATGGCACTTCTGCTTGGGGACGCACTCGCCTTCTTCATTGACATATTCTCCGTGGGGGCAACGACATCCTTCAACGCATTCCCGTTTACAACTGCCCTTGCCGGGCAGATCATCACAAGACAAAGCACACCCGTCTCCGCATTCGTCGTACACCTGGCCTATTGGACATTTGACAGCTGGGGAAGAAGTTTAAGTTTATATTGATCTGAAAACAACTCATTGTCTAATTCGGAATCATAAAACTCACCACACTCCTTGACCGTCATACGCCATCCCGTCTTAACACCCTGCCTCATGCACTCAGTTCCATAGGCGGACAGAATGGGACAGAAGCACTTGGAAAGGTCATCCTTGCAAGCGCAGGTATCGTAGAGGCAATCTTCATAGAACTGTTCCGGTTCGACAAGGAAGTGACAGTCCTGGAAGATGTCCTGCAGAATCCAGTCACAGAATTTCTCGGCCTGAGCTTTTTTCTCCGGACTCAATGTACAGGGGTGAGGTCCCTGGTGGGTTTCTGCCTTGAATTCGCAAGTGTCCTTAGTGCGCCACTTATCCGCAAACGGCTCAATGGCCGTTTCTACATCGCCTTCGGGTGTTAAGAAGTCATCCTGGGTATTCGAGTTGAAGGTACCACAAAGACCCTGAGTTTGGCCCCGGAAACTGGGTGGAGCGTCGATATAGACCCGCGAAACTCCATCCCACCAGACGCGAATGCCACCGGCAAACTCTACGGTTAGAAACGTAGAACTGGCACGTCGAATGAGAACTTCGCCTAGACCCAGCATTTTGGGTAGCTTCACAATGGGCTTGTCGTTGACTACCGTGGTCAGTCCCTGGTCCAACTTGATCACAGAAGGAGTACCATCGCGCAGAATAAATCTGATGGTCACTGACTTTGTGCACGATGGTTCGTCGGGAGCGGCAAAATTCATGGCCTCCGAAACGGCTCCAGAGCAAGCCACATTCTCCGCCTCCACTGACATGTTTTCGGTCTTTAGCAGATGATAGGAACATTTGCCCATGAAATCGTAACGCTTGCCATCGAATGTCTGATAATGTGGATCTCCAATAGCCCCACAGCGGGCACCACATTTATCCTCCGTGCATCGCCATTGACCGTTCTTGCAGGTGCAGGTGTTGCAGTTCTTCTTGACCGTCGACTCTGGCTTAAACTCCTTGCCACGAAGGGAACACGGACAGAGTTCTCTGGTGATGCATGCTTCCTTGTACTGTACTGTTCCTTCAGGGCAGAAGCAGCCTTCATTGCAGGCGCCCTTGGAAGCTGGTAGGGCTAAGTCCGAGTCACAGGTGGGTTCCACATTAGGACCGCAAGCTTGATAAACGCGTCCAAAACCGCAGCTGATGGCTGAAAAAGAAGAAAGAAATGAATGTCAGGAAGTTCTAATATGTGTTATAGAAGGAGTGGTAAATATTACACTATTCTTGTTTGCAAGCGAAGTAGCACAAGCAAAGACAGAAATCATTAGCAAAATGCTCGATTCATAAGAGATTCGTTAAGCGACAAAATCCTGCAGAACTATCAACATCCCTTTCCAACTAATCAGTTGGCAGTCCTCAATCAGCGGTACTCACTTTCTCATAGGCACTGATTGATTAGTTAAAAAGGGATGAAGATAGTCCTCCAAGATTTATCACTTAACGAACTTAAATCTTAACGAAACTTATGTAAATAGAAACCATTTTACGGAGTTTTTAGTCAGTCGGGAAACGTCGAGAAAGTGAAAAGAACTTGTTGTGCTTATCCCGTGGATAATAAGAAATAAATATAAAGCCGTTACTATAACATAAGTATACTTACGACATATCTCCAGATTCCGCCAGCCGTGCTCCAATTTAATGCCCTTAAAGGCGCATTCCTTGGCTAGCATAGCTATGGCATCGCAATTACAGCTTTCCGGGTGTTCTCGATTAGCACAATTGCAGTAGTCAGCCATGCAGGTGCGGATCAAGGCGTCGTAGTTAAAGGGTTTGATGCAGTCACCAAGCTTCTCGTTCGCCAACAAACGTTCACAGACGGAGACAGCCTTCTGGAGCTTGCTTTGCTCACAGGAGTCCATACCGAATTCCAGCTCTGCACTGTTCTCAACTTGGCACAATTCGCTGTGATCATCAACCCGCCAAGCATCTGCAAATGCCTTCACGGTCGCTAACTTCTTGCCAGTCCTGGAGGTCAAGTCAGTGTTGGTATCGCCATCAAGGGATCCGCAAAGACCACCCACTTTTCCCCACATCTGGGGACCAGCCTGCACGGAGACATACTGATGATGGTCCCAGTCCAGTTTGAGGCCAACAGACTCCAGATCAATCTGTACATGCTGGGCCACAGGCATAACCTTCATGCCCATAACCTGGACAGGCATGGGGAGCTTCTTTATGGGTGTGGTAAGCTGAACGGTGCCATCTAGAAGGTAAGTTTTTGTATAAGTAATTCCACATGCTAGGTCATTACCTGTATAAACTTACTTAGATTCTCGAAGGTGTACTGAACCGATTGCCAAAGAATCTTCAGGGTGTGTGCACAGCCATAGCCAGATCCATAAGGACAAGCCTTCAGGATAATGTCAAAAGTACCCGAGACCTTGTCTGTAATTAGCGTATGGGAACAGGACAAAGGAGCTCTGCAGAGAAAGGGACTCTAAATATCCGTATTTATTTATTAATCTTGTTAAACATACTTGAAGACCAGGCCATCGAAGGTCTTCATGTTAATGCCACCCCAAGTGGTACATAAGGCCGGTCGCGGAGTCTTGTCGATGACGATATCCAAATCGTTGCTCTGGTACAGGGTATAACTGCTGAGGGTAACAACAGATTCCTCTGAAGACCACCATTCCTAATAGGTAGATATGGATAGTAGATAAAAATCGAAGCTACTTATTATAAACATACACTTCTTCTTTCGAGATCACGATACTTGGCCAACAAGGCCAGTAGCTTTTCACGTTCAGTTTGAAGTTCATAGGCCATTTCCCCACTAACTGCCCGGTGATAGCCAGCCTGAGACACTACGCCATGAGAGGATGTTTTGGATCGAATGGTATATCCTGGAGCTGTAAGATTAACAAGAAATCTAATTTGTAGTTGCTTGTAGAGAAAAGGCTGATAAGAGGAGTCCAATCTTTAGAAACTTACGAAATATGCACTTTGGTAGTGGAGCAGGAAGATATTGTCCTTGCTGGTAGCTACACTTGTACTCTATGTCAAGGCGTCCTTGAACCTTCAATCCCGGTACCTCAGGGCAAGTGAATGTGCAACGGGCCTCCTCCATTTCATAGGAACACTTGTAGTTTCCATTAAAATTGGTATTTGTGACATTGCAGCTTTGAATATCTGTAAAATGTCAAATATTAATCATATATTTAGCAGGAAAAACCTATAATCCTTACTATATTGACAGTTGGCTCCCCTAAACATCTTGGTGCACGAGCAGACATTGAAGCTAATGCATTGTCCACCATTCTGGCAGGCGGGCGCACAAGTAGCTGAAAGGAAAAGCAGATGTAATCAGGAAATTCCCATTATTTCATTGGCTCTACCCACGAGCACAATCGGGGGCCTTGGGAAGACCCGTCTTGGTGTGCACCCACTGGCCATTGCGGCACTCAATGTTGGTGATGCCACTTCCGTCGGGAAACTGGAATCCCCTCATGCATTCGGCATGGCACATGCTGCAAAGAAAGTAAGGTCTTAGGACCAACAAAATCTGGAATTATGTAGAATAACTCACTTATTCTTGCAAGCCATTTTGGAGTTTTTGGGTGTCTTCGGAATGGAAGCACATACGGACTTCTTTTGCTGGCAAAAAGGTCCGTAGTAATTCTCCGGGCATTGGCAAACTCCAGCAGAGATGCAGATTCCATTGTTCTGGCACGGAGGCAGGCATTTGGCCTGGCAGGGTGGAACCTCCGTAAACACAGAATTGCCTATGATCCATCCATCATTGCTGCAGAACATGTCTAGGAACTGTATGTCCTGGGCGAAGCTATAGCCATTTGGACATGAGACCTTACAGCGACCGTTATGACAATCAGCCTGGACATTGGGTGGCAGTTGTAGAGCGGAACACTTTCCAAAGGCTGCCAGGACTTGGCCACCATTTCCGTAAAAGTTGCCTTGTCTCCTGTAGGGGATGATATATTATTGTCTTGGTTGTAGCTCCACTATAGCTGCCACTTACCCCTTTCCAACGCCAAAGAGTCCCAAGGTTTTGGTCAGAAATTCTCCTCTGTCATGAATTTTATATTATATAAAAGAAAGTTTTTTAATTTACAAATTAAGCTCACCCAAAGTTACCTCCTCCAACATGGGATGTCTTTATACCGCCGCCATATCCACCACCTCCGCCGCCATAACCACCTCCAACGGCGCCATATCCTCCTCCACCGCTACTGTAACCGCCACCGCCTCCTCCTGATCCTCCATAAGTGTATCGCGCACTGAAACATGGCATAATGTAACCAGTTATATAATCCACTATGAACTTGGCGAATTATCGCGCTTTCTTCCGACTTATCATTACCTAACTGCGGGGGCTTTGAGGATGTTGAAGCTAATATGGCGTTCGTTGCGTTCGCTCTCCTTATCGGCGACTTCCGGTGCGGCTTGGCTCAGCGGGCTAAATTTGCAAATTATTTAAGCAATCAGTGCGGTTTAAAGGTCTTTGTACGAAAAATATTCTTTTTTGGGTTTCTTATCTGAGCTTTGAAATACTTTTTTGTGGACGAAATATCTGCTTGACTTATTAAAAATTAAGGACTATCAAATGGACTATCAAATAATATGTGTATAGAAAATATAAAAATTGTATTTTTGCTACCTTGGAACAGATATTAAAGATTGTTCATGCTTTGATCCCTAAGTTAAAGATTTTAAAAATGACTTTCGAAGAAGTTCGTTAAAAGTTTCTTAGAAAGGATATAGGGTGTTCTTTTTTACCCTTTGTTTTAAATATCCTTTTTTTTATATTAAAAAGTTTGATTATGAACCGCTTTTATAAGAATATTTAAATTAAGTTCACTAAATATCATATTTATTGCAATTTTATTTGGTTTCAGATTCTAGATTTCTTTAAAAAATGTAACATTTGACTTATTAACTAAACACTGATTGGTATATTAATAAGTTTAGTTCAGTTTAGTTTAATTTACTGAATAAAAAATGAGTATCAGCGATCTTTTGAAAATTCTTAGAAAGGATAAGAAAAGGATTATAAAGGATACACTTTTTAAATCTTTTTTTAATATTCTTTTACACTTTCTTTAGACTACTTCATTTCTTAAATAAAAAGGACGATCACAGGTAGCCTCTAGTAGAATTTACAAAATTAGTTCACTAAATAATATATTTATTGCACTTTTATATGATTTAAGATTTCAGATTTCTATAAAATATTTAACAATCCACTGAATAGTTATTTTTAAGTAAATGTTAAAAATTAGTTCACTGAATTTTAAATTTATTACAATTTCATAATATGATTTTTGATTTTTAGTTTTAGATTTTTAATTTAGTTCCATATAGTTTAATTTACTGATAACTTTCCCACATATTTTCACTTTCCAAGCCACTCACTTAATATCCTCGTCTTCCTCATCGCCCATCACAATATCCCCATCTTCGGCCCACACAGTAGCAATGAGTAGCAGCCACAAGGACACAGAAATCACTTTATTTGCCATTTTTAATGGCTAGCTCGAAAGTTGCTTCAAAAATGTTGTACACAGGAATATCCTGTTGGGTAATTAGCACTGGTAATCCATTTCTGCCAGGACACTGCTGAGCTGTTGATCCTTTTTGGCCAAAAGTCTTTCCACAGACTAGTAGAACTTCCAATTAGAGCACTTTTCACTGTATATAACACTGTTTTTATCCACTGTACTTGACGATTTCGATGCCCGAACGCGACTAATGCTGCCAATGGCTGGGGATCGCCTTTTATAGGCCCGAAGGCGACGCTTTGTTATCAAAACGACTCTGAGAATTGTTAGGGTCAAGCCCAGAACTTATCCGGAATCCGCACAGAGAAAAGCACCATCTTCAGCTTATCGTTGTTGTGTTTAGCTAAAATTAGCATGGCGAATGTACCAGAATTGTGCCAAGTTTAAGTTGATAATAGTGCCACTTCCGGGGGAGGGCCTATGTCATAACTTCACAGCGCTCTCCACATTGGGGGTGGCAAGAATTTGTGGACTCGGGGAAGCCCAATCAGTTGATAGTTTGCCTCTCAAATTATCTACTCAAGCGAGTAGTTCTTGAAAGAACTAAGTACTACGCATAACTCAACTTGCATTGAACTTGAGAGCTGGAAATTATAGTTTACCCATTTGGGCCAAGGAAAAGTTGATTGCTTTGAACTTTCAACGGACTGTTTTGAGACCGTTAAATGTTATCGATTTAAGCAGTTCGTATTGTATAGACAAGCAGTTTGTGGATTTGTGTAGCAAGCAGTGTAAGTAAGGCGTCATCTCGACACTAGGTAGCGCCACTGTTGCATTTATGCATTTGTTGCATGGGATATTTTAAATGTTGCATGCGTTAACATACTTAATTTAATAATTTTTTTTTAACGAAAATGTTAATTCTTTAATATGGTTTTATATATGAATAGTAAGTATAAAATAAAACAACATATATTTAACTTTAAGAAGCTTAAATAAACAAACTTTAAAATATATTAAATTAAGTCATTTTAAATATTTTAAAATATTATATTGATAGGATTAAATTTGAGCAAGTATGTATATACTTAGAGCAAGATTTACTTTATCAGGTTTAATTTTTTAAGAATTTTTTATTTATTATTTTTATATTAAATAATAAATGTAATTGTAAGGTTTATAATTATATTTTCTTAGTTATAAGGTACATTAGGCCTATACTTAATTAAAAATACTTGATAGAAGGTCCCGTAGACCTATTGCACTTTCAATATCCCAATTTTTAAGTATATATTTAAAACACGAAAATGATTTAGATATTAAACAAAAACTAGACATCTTCAGAATGAAAACTTTTTAGCTGATGTAAAATCATGATTTAAGTAAGATAATAAATCCGAAAATATAATATATATATATAATTATTATAATTTAATGTGTATTATCAAAGATCAAAGATATTCATACGTAATAGTCCGTTTTATATTTTACCTACAAAAAGTATCCAAAACCATGAGCAGAATTTAGTAAAATAATCATATATATATAGATATATATTTTTCAGTCCTATTCCTTATCTTAAATATTTTTGAGCGAACTTTTATATTTAACAATTTAAAACACTTTAAAAATATAAATTCACACCAAATAGTTCCTCATTTGCGATGGACGGTCGATGGATACAGGGTTTCCCAGCACCAAATTATGTTTTTTATACAAATCCCTTGGTTTTATATACAACTCCTTAAAGTCCTCACTGCTGACATGCCGGCTAGCTGGTCCCAGATATATTCCGTCGATGCTGTGACTGGAACTTTCCCTAAGCTCAACCTCAGGTTCGTATATATTTTCGATCAGAGTTTGTCGCGACTTTATCTTTTGAGCTCTCACTTCTTGTTTTGGTCTCTTCAGCCTGGCCCTTTGGGAAGCCAATCCCGTGCAGCTCATGATGATGGCTAGCAGAACACAGAACTCAATCAGGGCCAAGATCAGGCTGGCAGCCAGAAAGATGCTGTACTGCTCCCGATACCAATTGTCCAGATGGGGAAGGCAGGACTCCGTGTAGCGCTCTCTTTCGTAGGACAATCTTTCCAGAGACTGACACTGCGATTCATTGGCTGGCTTGGGATCCAGATATGCCAAAGGTTGATCTGCATTCTCCAGAACACAACAGCTAAGCGGCACTGGCCAGTTCCTTTGCCCGTAGCCCTGCAATCGCCACAGCGATGTGTCGTAGTCCAACGAACTCTTCATCCCGCAACAGCCAAAACGCAATTGTGCCAAATCCATGGCATTGGTGAACTGCTCCTGTCCCGGAACTCCATAGTTGCTCTGCAATGATCTCACCATTTGACTCTCATCCAAGCTGATCCCCAAGCATTGAGGCCAAAGGGTTATGGCCAGGCACAGCACTGATTCGGTCAAAAGCAGCATCACAACACAGAGGAAGTAGATGGTTAGGAAACAGTAGGTGTGAAGGCAGCTGGCCCAGAAACCAATGACAGCAGCCAAAATGGCCACAAAACCAGCAATAGCCACGCCCAGTGCTATATAGAAGAGCAGGGGCTGGGGCAGTGAGCTCAGCCGATCGCTAGAGGCAGCCAAAAGTCTGGAGAGCAGAATGCGTTTGTTATCCGAAAAGATATAAAGGCCGGATACGATCAGCATTAAGCCACAAAGCTGTACAAAATATTGAATGTTATTGAAAGATTTAAACTTATTTGTTCTTTAAGTAGAAACTATATAAACTTTCACTTTAGTCTACCTACTAATTACTCACCAAAAACAAAAAGTTGCATAAATTGAGCACAAATTTGTAATTAAAACAGCAGGCCATGTTGATATCAAGGCGGGTGTGGTCGTTTAAAATGAATAACAAACAAATTGATTATGATGAAATGCAATAATTGCGACATGAGCAACGATCAGTAATGGCTGTGATGTATGCCCCAATCTGCTGCATGCCTAAAAATGTATAGATACACCAAAGTGGAAACTTTAAACAGCACTTGATCCGATGCGGCACTCTGGACAGTACAATTTAAACTAAACTACGCGGAGAGAGAGAAGCAACATTCTGTGGCAAGTTCAAAGCAGCGAAAGTAAGAGAAGTAACTCTCTCTCTACGAACCCCTTTGATGGGTTTTAACTCTCATCGTAACTTTTCAAGCGTCTCGCTTAGCTTAGCAAAACAAAACTGAAAACTGAAAATGAAAATGCTGTTCCCTCCACCAAAATTAAAGTTGAAACTAGAGTCTAAAGAGAGAAACCCATGGATGGGGCGCAATGTTCGTTGCTCTTATTTGATCGCTGTGGCACCATCTCCAGCCACATGGAACCGTTTTCAGACAAAAGCCAACAAGCTGGTAAAGCAACACCACCAGTTGAACTTTAATTTTAACTAGACCCCGGAAAATTAACTATGTAATAGATGGATTAAAATCTATTCAGATGGATGTTGGTTTTTATGACAGGTACTCTATGATATTCTCTAAAATCCTAGTGGGCCTTGCCTATGGAGTAAAATCTAGTTGGATGTTGGTTTCTATGACTTGTGATAGGTTCTTTGTTTCTGAATGTTTATCTACTCGACTACGAAATCTCAGTAGGCCTCACTAAACATTTCCAGCCTATAACACTTGGCTTAAGGCCAACGAAATTTTCCTAAACATATGTTTATGTTTTTTATAAAAACATTTTAAACCTACATAAGTTGCAAATTATGCTTAAGGGTCGGTATCTGCACAAGATGCCTGTGTCGGAGCAACAGCCTCGGATTGTTAAGATAGAGCGACCAGTGCCAGGAAAACGAGCCAGCAATTTGAAAATGTCGAGCGTTCAGCCCCAGTCGTTAATGGCCAAGAAGAAAGCAAATGTAACCGAAGATCTGGGTACTCGGTTAGCGGCTCTTCAGAGACGGGTCAAAGAGTGGCAGTCCTCGGGCGGTGTCTGACATAAATATAAACTAAATTAAATGTAAATAAAATTTTGAATATTTGTATTAACTAGTTTTTGTAACGAGGAAGTTTAAGATGGTTATAAGATCTAATATAGATTATGGTTTATGGCTTAGTTTTCTTTTCTGTTAAGTAGAATCCCTCCCTGAGCAAGTATTTTATCAAATATTCCACTTTTATGACGTTTTTTATCGTTTAATTAGCTCATCTTTAACCTGGGGTGAGTGACCTACTTTATAGCGCATAGCGAATTGTCAGCAATCAATAGTTCGTTGATTGCTATGGCTTCCCGGTTGTTCTGCAGCGATTGAAAGCCAAGCGACAAGCCAGTATGATTTCAGACGTCTGTTGAACGGCATCATCATGGAGCGTTGGTGCAACAAAGTGGCCATGGTTAGTGGAGCAAGTGCCGGAATCGGTGCGGCATGCACTAGGGCCTTAATCGGTGCAGGAATGGTCGTTGTGGGTCTGGCCAGGCGACAGGAGCGAGTTGAGATGCTCCGCAATGAATTGAGGCCCGAACAGCAGTCCCGGTTGCATGCAATCAAGTGCGACATTACGCAGGAGGATCAAGTATTGAAGGCCTTTGACTGGACGTGCAGGGAGTTAGGTGGCGTTGATGTCTTGGTCAGCAATGCCGGTATTATAGGTACCGGTGAACTTAGCGAGCGGAATGACGGTGCGGCTATGAGGTCCACTGTGGAGACAAACATCATGGGCACCGTTTACTGCGTCCGCGAGTCCTTTCATTCGATGAGGAAACGAGGTTCTGAAGGTCACGTGGTTATCGTGAATAGCATTGCGGGCTATCAGGTTCCCAATCTGGGTCCCCAGCTTCCTTCGCTGAACATCTATCCGGCCACCAAGTTTGCCCTTCGCGCCATGAACGAGATCTATCGCCAGGAGTTCCAGCGGCACAAGACTCCTGTGAGGGTTTCTGTGAGTGTTTTGTTTTCTTGTTTTTAGTAGCTGTTACTAGTTTAAATTGTCTTCGCAGACCATTAGTCCGGGCATGGTTGATACGGACATCTTGCCAGAGCAGATCCAAGGGGTTATCAAAGAGCACATGCCCATGCTAAAAAGTGCTGATGTCGCCGATGCCGTTCTTTGGGCCATTGGAACTCCACCGAATGTTCAGGTAAAGTATTGGTCTTTAAATGTGGGATGATAACTAATATAAATAACTGTTCTTACTATTTATAGGTTCATAATATAACCATTAAGCCGCAAGGCGAGAAGTTTTAATCTGCTTCCTGGGATAATAAAAAATAAATTGGACAACATGCAAGCATGGTGCTTGATGCTAGTTTATAATTTTATGATTTAATGATTAGGTAAAAAATAAATAAGCAAACAAGAGTCTTTATTACATTCTTAAATTGACAGTCTAAAAAATTCCTTCAAACTCATTAATCTTAAACAGTATAAGATAAGACTTATTCCTTCTCAAGAACTACTTTTGTATGTACATTTTTGCATATTTAATATACATTAGCTAAAATTTATTTTAACCTTTAAAAATCATTATTTTTTGGATACAGTTTTTCGAATTGAAACAAAATAAGAAGCCAATTATTTATCAAATTTTATTTTATAGTTTTATAGCTCAAAAAATGATCTTGTCTTCTATTTTAAGTATAAGTTTTAAGATAGTTTTAATATACCTTCAGTAAGAGCCTATAAAGTTCCTCCGCAATCCCCAGTGTCGGCGAATTCGGTTCCCCAACCACGGATCTTACTCCACTGCAAACACCCTTTTGCCCCCCAACACTACTTTTCTCTCTGCTAAGGACTCTCTACTTTGCTTTGAGAGTGGATTTAAGAGAGCTTCGGCACAAAGTTTTGCTTTGAACGTTCCTTTTCCATATCGTTCCAAAAGAGGCTTCAAAATGCTCGACACTGCATTCTGGCTTTTTAGTTGCGTGTAGCCTTTCGCTCTGTAAACATCGACCTTTGTTCGCTGTAACCCCTTTGAGCTATTTTTTTTTAGATTTTGCATCCTTTTGCCAGCTGTTGTTGCGTGCATCTGTTGATTGTGTTTTTGCCAGAGTCTTCGAGTAGGAACTTTACAGATTTTGCTTGTCTTTTGAGAGAGATTATTTTTATCAAAATTTTAACTGATGATTGGTTTTTAGCTATATGCGTGATTAGAGATTATCTCATAAACTTACCAAAAAACTTAGTTACATTCGCCATCTCATCGCTCATTAATGTCTAAGTTTCGAATCTAAAAAGCTTTTGAAATATTTTGTAAACGAGGTCTTAAAACAATTTGTATCGAAATTTCGAAAAATTTCTGCAGAATATAAATAACTATCTAAAGCTGAGCTAACCATTAATCCTTTGCTCATATCACATATCTCTCCACATATCATGTTGGCTAAATCTCCCCAATATTGTTAGGAAACTCAATTTAAATGCACATATTACATTGAGACGAACCTGATGAGTCTGCGTCACCTCATTTGATTTCGTTGGAAAAATCTCCTTTTATTAATATTCATGAAAGCTGAAAAGTTTGTCGGTTATTTATTTAATGGGTGCTGGATTCCACCGAGTCCATTGAGGATGCTCCTGTTTTGGGTTTAAGGATGAGGGTGTGCATATGTTTAAAATGCCACGATTTGCGCTTTTTGTTTTTTAAATAAAAAATTTAAGGTAATCGTAGTCCCATTGCGTTGAAATCGCTGAGCAAAAGTTTTAATCGAATTTGATATGAAATTTACAAAAACAGTTTTACTAAGCTTCTGTTATAAGTTTTTCTTCCTTTTTAAATTAAAGTTATTTGGTAATATCCCTTAACATTCCAGCCTGAGTTGTAGAAAGATTTTCATTTCGATCTCATAAAAACGTTTAAAAATATTAGAAAGCAATGTCTATAGAATAAATCACCTCTTATCACGACATTGCATCACCCTCAATACATTCTAACACCCATAAAAACTTTCATTTAACATGGAATAAACAAACATTTTTAAAAATTCGTTCGAGGACCCATAAATTAAGTATAGAAAACTGTGTCACCTATGCGTGCTAGCTGCTCCAATGAAATAAAATTAGAAAAATATAACCATAAATAAATGTTTAGCGGCTAATTTGGCAAATGTAAACTTGAATATAAAATATATTTTCCTATTTCCATATAAATTAGCGTAAGCCCCCGTCATCGATAAGGCAATTAATGTGCTGAGAGCAGGCCGCTATGCAAATGGTCATATGTTAAACGCCAGCCACCGAAATGACATCGATGTGAGATTATAAATCACGGATGGGGACGGTGTGCTGCCCTCGTACTCGATGGCTATACAAGTGCTATTAAAAGCCATACCGATGAACCCTAGTACTCGTAAATCATAAAGGAAGCGGCGCCTTTGCAGTGCCTACCTTGGCTCTTAGGACCTTGTCTTTATTGTTTTGAAATTTATGTCCTGGAATGGCACTTCGCAATCGGCATTGTCTTGGCTGGGTTTGGTTTTAACCGATAGGCAAACTAAATTGAATGTTAAAATAGATTTATTTTGTTTAGTGCTAAGCCATTGTCTTAAACTTATTACTCCTTATTTTTGAAAATATTTTTTTCTTTAGCAAACTTATGTGATAGTTTTCTTTAATCGATTAAGATTTCGGAATTCTGTATTCAGTCTGCTGCCTTTCCCTTCAATGCCCCGTAAAGTATGCAAATAATAAATTCACAAGATAAACGAAGCTGACGTCATTGACTTCACAGGATATACTGTAGACGAACGGATTGGATGGATATTCAGAATGGTGAATTCAGGACACTTGCCTTGATGACAGGCCAGGCTTTACACCGACTGCGTTCGGCTCAATTCATTCCATCAAGTTAAATAGAATCTGTATGAGCTTCTGGAAACATCAGCTGCCTGCTGGCTGCTTTTACTATAGCAAATGAAACTTTATTGTCTTATTGGGCAAATACAAAGTGCATGGGCGGATAAAGAATGAAATTTTAAGAGGAGTTTTTAAAATATATTTTAAAGAAGAGTTTTGCTTTGACAATTGCATTTAAGTATTGCATTTTTTCGCATTAATATTTGCACCAATAAGTAGGTTTTGGTCTTTAAGCTTTAAGATCTAAGTAATATAGTCCTGAAAGCCTTCTGACTACATCACTGATGCTCTACATCTACTTCATTATGTGATTTTGGTTTACTTTATATAAAGAAAGATGTCAACTTTGAATGATATCGTTGACTTGAAACAGTACATACGATACCATAGTTTTAAGATAAACTCCGAAGTGGCTCCGAAGAAAAGCTTAAAAAGCTTCATAGCAAAATTATTTAGCGAGGATCACTTAATTGGATCAGCTAAATTGAATTCACTCTGCTTTATTCTTGCCAAAAATGCATGCTTAAATTATATAATAAAAGAAAAACAAGAACTCTTATGGCTTGGTAGATACCATAAATAATGGTTGATTCGGCAGCACATAATTTGTGTGCCGGGCACAAAATTCCATGACTCTCTCTCTCTTCTTAGCCGCTCGCAACGGCCATGGACCATGGCTCATATGCTTTTCATTTTCATTGGTTATTTGTCGCTTGAGTTGCTTTTCGGCCATAAAGATTATAATCTTTGTATGCTACACGGACAGCAACAATAACAATAAAAAAGGAATTTGCTCTACCAAACCCGAAAGTTGGGTTGGAATATTTCTCTACCCAAAAAAAATATTTTAGCATGATGTAAGAAAAAGTGAAAGACCGAGAGAGAAAGAAAATATAGAGGAAAAACTTAAAGTTTATCTTGCAGAAAATTAAACTTGATAATAGGTTCTTTTAGACTAAGAAAACAAATACCACAAACGCCATAAAATATTGGTTATGTTGGTTATTTATGACTGAAGACTTTGAAGCCTTGTTAGTATTATCCCTACCCACTATTTGCACTACCTATAACCCATAATTAAAAAAGAACTCCTTCTTATTATAATTGAAATATAGTTTTTTTTCTTTATTTTATAAATTTTTGGTATCACTTAAATCTAATTATATATAATTTTGAAAGTCTATGGGTGTGTTAAATATGATTTTCACTTCTAGTAGTAGACAAAGTGAAATTCTCTTTGGATTCCAAAAGGGGAAATCTGTTTATGAATTGGACAACATCCTCCGACTGGCGATTTATGCGCTCAGCTCTTAGTTTCCGGTCATTTGTGATGTCTCTTAGGAATGTTGACCAGTTAGATGCCAGATTGGGCAGTTTTTCGATTGATATCTCAGTAGGCATCATTGCACTTTTCTTGCAATTCTTCACTTGCCCAACGGAGGAATTCTCATTGGTGGTTACAGCTACAACGTTTGGCATTTTTGATTATTTGAGATAAGTTGACTGTTGAGATAAGACTCTGGAAGCAGACTAATTTGAAAGTATTCATGCTTTGGTTTATATAGATCTAAGCAGGTAAATTTACATAACTCTTCTGCAATGGATTCAGGTAAAAATGGTAAAAAACCCAACCTAACTGAAACTGTAACCAAGAAAGGATCAGGTAGAGTACTAACAGCTGCACTCCAAACCCTGCTTAATAATCTCCTAACAGATGGAAGGACCTAATAAACTAATAAACCCATAAAAACCATAAAAGAGGTAAGCTTAGGTAACTTAAGTATTCCAAAAACTATTATTTAAGAAAACCTAATATGTGGTTTTAAACACTAGAAAGTTCGATACATTTTATAGATTGGAAGAAGGAACTAATAAAGTGCCAATCGATTAACTATTATTTTAATCTAGAAGGCTTTTTGATTTGGCAAGCAGTAATGTCAAATTTCTAGCTTGTTATATCTGTAATTTATACAAACAAATTGTCGTACCTCTCTCAGCCTTATTGAGTTTACTTTTCGTTACCAAATTTGAATACCCTCAAGAACATCCAGAAGCAGCAAGATGCCCCTTTCTGAGCAACAACTGAAAATTATACGGATGCGGCGTTCATTTGCATCTGGAAAAATGACAACGGAGGATCTTAAAAATCGAGTTTTAGCTCTTCACCAAAGAGTACGTGATTGGAAGGCCATTCAGAAGAAGGAAGTGGATCAGAATTTAAGTTTATGGAAATCTCACATGACAGATTTTTAGTTTAATAAAGGTCGAGAAGTGCAAAGTGCAAAGTGCACTGAGAAGAAGTAAACCTTTTCTTTTTAATGTTTTTTATTTAATTTATATTCGAGAGATTCAGAATGGAAGACTTTTTGCAAAGAGTTGCTTGTATTTTCCCCAACGAGTACTTTTCTTTTTTAAGGTATGCTTAAATATTTTCACAGTCTGCAGTTTTTTTTGCAGAATATTCATACACATTCCATTCCAGCATTCTGTCGCCTGCGAAATTGAGCAATTTAATTATACTCGTATGGAAAAATAATGATGCTGCCTCCGCACATTCTCTGGAAAGGTAAACATTGACATCCAATGAAGGCTTCAAAATGCCGGGGCGACAATTGCAATTAATTGCATATTTTAAGCCATTCCAGATTGGAACCGCAGACACCGTGAATAACAATAACAACAACAATTGCTGTACAAAAAAAAAAATATATATATATATATGTTTAATGTCCATAATAAAAAAATGTTCATAGTAAAAAACAAAAGGATCGGCTTGACCGTTATCAAAGGAAAGAAATTAATTGGTCTTTATGCCAAAAATTAACAATTATGACAATAAAAATGCATTCTGTTTATTATGGGAATTCCTGAATTGTAATTTGAAATTTATCAGGGTAATAAATATGCTTAAAAGGGGTTAAAAAGATGTACAGTTTGTTTGGAAAAGTAAAAATATCAAAAATAATTAATAAAAAATTTCAGGAACTTCTTTGCATACCAACTTCTTAAAGCTAAAAAAACGTATTTCCCATTCAACCCCACTCAAAGTGTAACTTTATTTTAGTTTCTGTGGCACCCCAGATAATAAGTACTTTCACATTTAATGGCATTCTTGGTGCCTACACGCTGTGCAATTGCCTATCTTTGCCTGCTTTGCCCAACAAATACTTTCAAGATGCCTCCACATGAATATTCGCGACTTTTACAAGTTTTTGGGCAGGCCCCCCTTAAAAACAGGAAACAAAAAGGAGATCCTAGGAAGGGAATCATAGCGTGTGTGTGCTTGTGTTTGCCACTTGACAGTCGTTTAAATGCATTAAAATATTACCTTCTTCAGCATGAGCAAAACAAAACAGAGGCAAGGGCAAACATGACATCCGCCAAATTTTCACATGCGATAGACGTTTTTGGGGAAAGTATAAAGTTGAAGAGGGAAGGGGAATGTTACGCCCACTCGTAGAAGGCCAGGGAAAAATCAAATCATCAGCCAAGGACGCGCCAAACCAATGACTGCAACAATGGTGAAAGGATAACTTTGGCGTGGCTGTCTGCTATGCGGACAGGAAAAGGGTTTGCCACAGAGTATCGAAGTGGATGGGGATGGAATGACTGACTGAGTCGACTAGTTAACACAAATTGAAATTTTTGAGCCAGCAGACCGAAAAATAGGAATCCTAAAACGAAGCTATGAGAAGCGTTTCTCAATTTTTAAATTCTTTTTAAAGTTTTTTGTAATTTTTTGAACATGTTTCTGCGATTCTGATAAGAAGTTTTCGGTGGGAATTTCGTTAAAAAAAATTCTTCGGACACCCCCAATCTACAAATATTCAAAATTACTTTTAAATTAATAAATTTAGAACCAAATATCACATTCTGAATTTGCCAGGACCTAAGACTCCAAGCATACGAAAACCGAAAGGAGAAAAACTACCAAAAACTTTGGGGGAACAGAAAAAATAGAAAAGCCTTACAAGCAGAAAAGGAATCAGGAGTGGCCGGCGGAAAACAAAATATTCATGAACACAGCAGTCTTATAAATAAATTGTAGCCCCCAGCGCAGAACCCATCATTGGCACTTCCACCCTTAAACTCAGTGGCGGCACCCACAGCGCCATCCTTGTTGTCCTCTGCCGATGCAGCTGCTATACGTATACTATACCATGGTACGCCACCAAAAAAATGAGAAGAAAATGGCCCGAAAAACTTAAAAATATGCTAACAGAGAGTGAGAAAAGGAAGAGCATCAAGCTTTTATGATGGTTCGATTTCGTGGAATTAGCAATGAGCAAGAATTGCAACAGGATGGAAGTGGCAGTAGGAGGTCGACCATTTGCCACTGAAAAGTAGTCGCTTATGCAAGAGGCGAATTTTTAATAATACCATCGAGGTTGCCCAAGGACTTGGAAATGGTGGCAAATGACTGTGGAGTGGCGAATACATAATGCAGCGGCCATCAGAGTGCAACCTGTAAATACACTCAGCAGAATGGGTATAGTGGTAGTAACTCTGAAAGAGTAGGCTTCTAAAAGTAGGTGGGTAACTGCCCTAGGACTTTATTTTCTATTAAAATACCTCAAGGCAACATAATTTTAAATAATTTATCGAAATATTAAACAATAAGTCTGGATTTCATAAAGGTGCCTAAAAGAAGGCTATATTTTATGTACTGTAAGCGTGGTGGCTGCATCATGAACTGTGAAGGTAGAAAGCTTTAAAAAACTTAAATATCTGGCAATATAATATAATTATAAAATCTTTATTAAATCCTAATTTATCTAAGACAAAGCTAGCGTGCTATCCATTCTAATTAATTTAAGCCATTGACATTGACAGGAAATCCCGATTATATGCAATTTGCCAAACTTTGAACTCCAGTTAAGGGATCGTTAAGTGAAGGCAATCGTCAGCCGGAGGCGGTTGGCGACAAAAAGCCATAAAATAAATTATTTCAAGAATCAATTACAACTAATAGCACAGACCAGCTGGAAACCAATTTAATTCACTTGAGCTGCATACGTAGCGCTTTTGCCAAAAGGATGAAGTGGAGTCTGTATGCCAGAGAGGGACAAAATTCCGAACCCAATGGCCCCTTCCGTTGATTTCCAATGTCTCCGAGTGGTTTGAATGTGTTCATTCTCGGTCTTCTCTCTCTGCTCTGGATGTATGTAAATCACATATGCGATGATTTAAGCCAATGCATAATTGATTGTAATGCTTGGCAAGCCGATTTCGGTTTGCATAAGCACAAGGCCAAGCACAGCAGCCAGCAGTCCTCGGAAATTAGCCAGTTAGCCATGTGTGGAGGAGCCCGAGGTGGGGTGCAAGGGATCTTTGAAAGCTTTCCTTTGTAAATTGACTGAGTACCAATCAATAGGTTAAGGCAATTATAGTAAGGATAAGGCTAAGGCTAAGACTAAAAGGAAACTGGGAGAACAACCAATAGACATGAACTACTCCCATCGATTAAAGTTGAAAAAGATTTGAGTTGGAACTCCATTTAGCCGCTATACAAATGATAATAAGGATTTAATTGCTATCAAAAATCTGAGTGTCCTTTTTACTTCTGCTTCCGGCGAGTACGTTGACCACCGGTTAATTTGCTTGGTGGATTTGCTGACTTCCGACTTTAAGTTGCTGGACGAACACGATTGCGTTGCTATGTGCCCGGAATTTTCAATTAATTTTAATTTCATGTCAACACCTTCGCCCGACAATTGCTGGATGCATTCGTAGGCAGAAAGCTGCTCTTTCGGAAGCGTAATTATCCTTATACTCCAATCTGAAGCTCATCTGGCCTTTTCCCCATCTCTGTCTCTCTCTCTCTCAATTAACCAAAAGAATGTTAGGCAGCACTCAGAGTGGTCTGAAGGAGGTGAGAGTAGCCTAGGGAACGTAGGTGGACATGTTCGTTGAAGGACATTAACCTGGCAGCCAAGGTACACGCACGTGTGCGGAATCTGCAATGGCTTGGGTTATAGAAAAAGACAGAAGAAAGAAGGGTGACGATGACAACTTGGAATTAGCACCTTTTAAGAGTTTAATTTAGAATATTTTTAGATTTTTAAGTTATAAATTAGTAAGCTAGCTAGCCTAGTCCTTAAAAATTTGAATATATATTTCAAGAACTTGTAAAATTTGACCTAAACGTATAAGTAGAGCTTTTCATTGCAAACGCGCTATTATGTTAAAGGGACAATTCATTTAAAATGTGCTTACCATTAATACTTATAACCTCCATAACGGGCAAGTTCTGAGCAATTTGCAGTTAATTTATGGCAATGTCCGCAATGGTTGCATTTTCTTTGGTTGCCCAGCCATTCATATTGTTGTGGCACCTCTCCTTATGATAAGTTGACTCCCCATGAAAAGTTGGCGGACTTGGTTGTCCGACTCTGCTCAGCTCTTAACCGTCCTTGCATTTGCATTTCAATAATTAAGTGTTATTGTGGGTAGTTGGCTTGTTTTTCCTTGCTACTTTGTTTGTTTTTATTTTTCCACATATTCATATGGACTGAATGGTCTGAAGGTGCATGCGTGCCATTCAACTGCAGACAGAGGCACATTAAAAATATAACAACAATGAAGTTGTGTGTGGCTGATATTAATTCAGTTGCAATAACTTGAACAATAAAAGCAGGGTTGCCAAGAAGCCCCCAAGCCCTGCACTTACCCACACACACACACATTATGGCAGGCAAGTTTTTCACATTCTTGGCATTTTATTTATTGTATGATTCAACAATTTACCTAGGTTAGGCGATGTGAATATTAAATTATCCTTTTGTGCGGCAGCCAAGAAAAAGGAGAGTAATGCATTTGAACAAAGGGACACGTAGTATTTTACCATGGACTTTGAGCGAAAAGTGACTTCCTTTTTTCCTGCCGAGATATGCATAATTAATTTGTCTCCGTTTAAGGGGGAAAATTATTTATTTACATATCCATTTTCTTGATGAGGAACAGAAGTTTCAAGCGAAATTGAATTTTCTTTTTTTAGAGTTACAAAATTTAATAATTAAATGGCAAAACTGACTGACTTTTAGTTGTCCTTTAAATAAGTTGAGATGTTATAAGAACCTGGAACTAAAGGTAAGCTTGAACAGGTTTTAAATATAGGGGATAACAAAGTGGTGGTATAAAGGTTACAATATAAATACAATATTTCTATTCATTAACAGCTTAAATTACATTAAATTACATCAGACTTCAAGGTGTTACATATATCTTAACGGGAGATCGTGTGGGTGGAATCTTTTGAGCCTTCTCCTTCTTGGTCTCCAAATTAGCCTCTTCGCCAGGGAGTTAGGATCATTGCCAAGGAGTCTGAAGTAGCTTTCAGCATGCGTTCGACAAACATCGCCTATCATTGGGATTTGTAGATCTCTTTCTATGTCCCTGGTTCTCATGTACCATAGGGCATTGCGAATCGATCTGACAATCTTACTTTGCGCTACACGTATTTGGTTTAAGTTCGACTTAGACGCTACGCCGTAGACCTGTAGTGCATATTTCCAGATTGGACTGATGATCGATTTGTAAATTCGTACTTTGTTGGACAAAGAAAGCTTATTTCTTGCCGTGAGTAGCCAGGACATACTTGCTGCCTTTGAAAGCACTGACTGCTTCACCATTGTTGTGTGCCTCTGGAAGATGAGCCCTCTATCCAAAATCACACCAAGGTACTCGTAGTGTGGCCCGTGACGAAGCACAGAACCGAGCATGGAAATGCCTGGGCAGCTTTTTGGCCTTGTGGAGAAAGTGACACAGGCACATTTGTTGCAGTTTATGCCTATGTTCCAGTCGGTTGTCCATTTAACAAAACTTGATACGTACTCCTGCAGGCCTATGGTTGCAACGTCTATGC